TGGTTTTCCCTGCAGTGATATTGCTTGAATAGTGATAAAAGTGGAGTAAAACCATACTCAATCACTCACTCATACCCCAGTGAAACATGAGTCTCTAAAGAACAAAATTATTATTATTAATTAAGTATCTTTTGTGTATTATGTGTGATCCTATTATAAAAAATTAAAAAAAGTTGCTTTAATGATGTTTAGGATTCATTGAGCTGCTTGTACCTGTCATGCTCCCATTCACATGAATGTTTCTCAATTTAACCTGAATGTGTCAACAGAATACTGACTAGTAACAGAAACTATAACCATTCCTTGTACACAGAACAATGTCATAAATGTGCCTAATATAAACAAGTCTTTGTCATTTTTTGCCATTGAGTCTATTACATGTGCCATGTTTTCTCTTTGAGCTGGGGGAGGGTAGGGTAGCCAAGTGGGTAAGCATTTGCTCATCTGACCGAAGGCCTTGGTTCGATTCCCCACATTGTTACAATGTGTGAAGCCCATTTCTGGTGTCCCCCTGCCGTGATGTTGCTGGAATATTACTTAAAGCGACGTAAAACCAAACTCACTCACTCACTCACTTTTAGTTGACTAAACTAAACAAGTAAGTGTAAGTGAGTATGGTTTTACGCCGCTTTTAGCAATATTCCAGCAATATCACGGCGGGGGACACCAGAAATGGGCTTCACACATTGTACCCATGTCGGGAATCAAACCTGGGACTTCGGCGTGACAAGCGAAAGCTTTAACCACTAGGCTCCCCGACCGCCCCCTAAACTAAACAGTTCCTCCTGGTCTTTTCAGGTTTCAGATACCAAGGGAATACCAGACAAGAGATAAAGTTAATTTAAGTTGATAGAGCCTGTGCTCCTTATAGAGGAAATATGGTAGGTCTGAGGTGGCAGGGTGGCCCAGTAGCCATGATCTCATTACACCAACGATCTGGGTTTGGTTCTCATTTAATGTGTGATGTCTTTATCTGTTGTTCCCAACTGGGATATTATGAAATATTGCTCTGAGCATTGTAAAAACACTCCATCTCATGTCATGTCCAGACGGGGCGGTCGGGTAGCCTAGTAGTTAAAGCGTTCGCTCATCACGCCAAAGACCCGGGTTCGATTCCCGACATGGGTACAATGTGTGAAGCCCATTTCTGGTGTCCCCCGCCGTGATATTGCTGGAATATTGCTGGAATATTGCTAAAAGCGGCGTAAAACCAAACTCACTCACTCACTCATGTCCAGACACTTGCTGATAGACACCAAATATATGTCAAATATGATTGAAACTGTAGTTCAGTTTCATATTCTACAAAATGCATGCAAATACATGTGGATTCTGAGACCTGAAAATAACTTGGCTACTTTTCTGTATGTTATTTCTCTTCTTTTGTGATGTTAGCAACATGATCAATACAACTGTGTATTGATATGTAACTTCCTGCTTAGTCCAACAAAGACAATGTGCGATCCATTCAGTTGATCCTGAGGCTTGTGCATGTGTGAAAACAAACATCTGTCGACAGCATACATTTTCCTTACAACATGCTAATGCATACAGGTGAATCACTGGGTTTTATTGAAGGTATGAAAATACAAAGGAGATGGTTCCCAGGTCTGTGGAATTCCATGGGATGTGGTTAGAGTGAGTAGGGTTTTATGCTGCTTTTAGCAATATTCCAGCAATATCACAGCAGGGGACATCAGAAATGGACTTCACACATTGTACCCATGTCGGGAATCGAACCCTGGGCCCACTTGCACAAAGCGATCTTAGCGCTAAGATGATCATAACTCCCATACTTTAACTTTGGCTTACAATAGTCTTAGCGCTAAGATCGCTTTGTGCAAGTGGGCCCAGGCCTTTTGCGGGACGGCGAACATTTTAACCACTAGACTACCCCACCCCCCTATTCGCTTGTGAAACCTTCAATATACTACTGGACTTCAACTTGAAATATGAACCAAACCATCCTTCAAACCAGGAATATAGCCCCCTCAGTTTGTATCTGATATAGTGCAGGGGGAATACGAATACATGGTTTGTAATTACAGATACTAATGTTGGACTAATGCATTCCGTTCCAAATTTACAATATACTTCTGTAAGTTCTAAATTCAAATGATAGTACATTTGTTTTTTATTTACAACTAATGTATACTATGTACACGAAATGGAGGCCTGTGAAGATCCGGTTTAGAAAAAACACACATACATCTAAGAAAATTATTCTGAACTAAAGGAATACCTCAAGAAATCTTCAACTGCAATTTCATCATTGTCCTGTTTAGTTAGAGTGTGCGAGTGAGTGAGTGAGTTCTGACGCTACTCAGAACAGTATTTCAGTTTGAACTGCCTGTCAGCTTAATGAGGGATTTTGATGAAACCCACTCTTCCCGAGGAAAGAGAGTTAACTGACTTTAAAAGTCCAGTTTCCACCCTTGCCAAACTAGGCTGGAATTCCTGGGCTCGATCGTAGTGCCACCAGTGGCTATTACCAGTTATGTCCCTTCAAAACCTCTCCTATGGACCAATCAGATTCAACCTCTCGTATCACTTGCGTTTGCTTCACACAAGATGGTGGTGCCCACTCAGGACGATCTGATCGGTAATCAAGTTCTATATCGTGATAAATCGGGTCTTACATAGCGAAATGCATCAAATCACGTGAGCACCTTGATTAAAAACATGAAAAGATTTGGAAAATATCTGCTGATGAGTTGGCGGTGCACATGCTTTGCAAATCCTGCAATCGACCGAAATCAGCACGACAGTTTACAAACCGGATTTCGGTGTGCGATTTTGATTTGACTATGCATAGACTCGTTAGTCCAGCCAAAATGTAACACCATCATACCAGCCTAGTTCGGCAAGGGTGGAAACTGGACTTGTATAGTCAGTTTACTCTCTTGCCTCGGGAAGATGATGAAACCCAGGACCATGGGTATATGCGAGGTTAGGTGACATGGGTTTTAACATCATGTCCAAGATTATTCCACTACTATTGTATACAGACTCCCAGCCAACCAGTCCTTGTTATAGCCCCTTAGTGCCGAGCGCCAGGCAGGGTAACAAAAAGTACCATCAATAAACGTCATTTGGTATGACGCGGCCAGGGATCACAACCCAAGACCTTCTGCTCTACCACTAGACCAACGTAGAACCATAATAAGGAAATACCCATGACCCTATGTTTCTAGCAGGCTAAGGGACACAACTCTGGACAGCAAGTAGTGCACCTTAGACACCACTCATGCCTCCCAAATACTTAGACATTATCACCAATGAGTGAGTGAGTGAGTTAAGTTTAACGTCACATCGGCAATATTTCAACCATATCGTGACGATTATCACCAATGATCACCACTAAGGAGACAACAGAAAACACTGAACAAGGTATTAAGGTACAAATCATTGCTGGCTGTAAATATTTTGTTTACACCTCACTCAGCTATATTCTAGCTATATGATGGCGGTTTGTAAATAATCGGGTCTGGACTTGATAATCCAGTGATTGACCTCATGAGCATCGATCTACACAATTGGGATACGATGACATGCAACCAAATCAGAGAGGCTGACCACCCAATCCTGTTAGTCAACTCTTAGGACCAGCAAGGGTTGCTTGAGACCCATTCTAGCAGGGATCTTCAGAGTCATGGCTGTAAGTGAGTGAGTGAGTTGGTTTTAACACCATTCCAGTTATATGACGGCGTGTCAGCTTAATATGGGAGGAAAGCCCAAAGTGATGCAGGTCTCAGACGTTTACCACTTTGATGAAACCCACGAGCACGGGTATGGTGCTGACAAACCTAGACACATAATTGGGGCGAACCTGGATTCGAACCCACACTTATAGGTTTCTGGCGTGCCCAAGGGACGCAACTCTGCACAGCGAATCACAGCGCCTTAGACGACTGGGCCACCCGTGCACCCTGGCTGTAGTGGTGAATAGGTGATGACCTATGGTAATGTCATAGTGTGGAGTACCCTGATCAGAAAAGATCAGAAGCACCCTACTGCTGGTCATACGAGCCCACCAAACAGGATCCAGTGGTCAGACTCTGTGAGTCTCATGCGTGTTTCCATAGCCTGGATCGTGGTCATGTTTTCAGTCAGTGGTTTGCACGGTTCAGCCTTTGTTGTTTGTTTGTTGTTACACGCCGCACTCAGCAATATTCCAGCTATATGACAGCGGTCTGTATATTGCATCTTGACCAGACAATCCAGTGATGGACATCATGAGCATCGATCCACACAGCTGGGATACCATGACATGCGCCAACCAAGCCAGCGAGCCTGACCCTCCGATCCTTTAGTTGACCCTTACAAGGTTCAGTCTATGAAATAGTGGGCATGAATATTGTGCAGTTGTGTTCAACAACATTCACTCACAAATTTTGTACTGTAAAATGATAATCTCAAACTTTTGATTTTAATCAAATTATGTAACAATTCTCAAGGGAACCAATTTAAATCTGAAAGTCTTTTTATGGGCATGGCCTCTGAGCATGAAAAATATAGCTGGTATTTTTCCCCATCATTAATGTTACATAGTTCAAGAACTACCTGAAATCAGCCACTTTTAGCAACAATCAAACCATATCACAGCTGGGTACATAAGAAATGGTCTTTATAGAGTGAGTGAGTGAGTTGGGTTTAACACCGCTTTGAACAGTATTCCAGTCATATCACCATGTGTCAGCTTGATGTGCGAGGAAAGCCGGAAGTGATGCAAGGCGAAGACATTTACCACTTTGGCGGAACCCATGAGCATAGAATCGGTGCTGACAAACAGAAACATTATCGGGGCAACTGGGATTCAATCCACTATTCGATTTCTGGCGTGCCCAAGGGACACAACTCTGTAAAGTGAATTGTGGCGCCTTAGACGACTGGGCCACCTGTGTCCCCAGGCTTCATATAGCGTACTGACGTGGGAAATCCAATTCACTAATTTGACAACCATGTGCTACAACCCGACATGAAATTAAAACAAAAAGCAATTTCAAATTTATGATTTTATTGACATTTACAGTTTCAGTAGATGACATATCTACAACCTTCATTTTCTACATCAAATTTTGAATTTACATCATTAAAACCTTTTTACTAAAACATCATTCATCACAATGAATCATTGATATGCTGAGACACTACACTAACATTGCACACAGACCTCTCAGCAAGATGTATGTGGACAACAGCCAGACAGACACAAAGAAGCTGTAGAAAGATGGTGTGATGAGTCAAAGGCTCACAGGAAAACCTAAACAACACAGAGAACAGAGAAAGCATGCTAACACTGAGATACACTGCACAGGGAGTCTTAACAGTAGTTTGTGCGTTTTCAAACAGAATACTCATCAGCTTTTCATACGGTTCTTGCCCTTGAATGGTGATTGCATTGAAACTGAATAATTGTGGAGTTAACAAGGCTTCACTATATATATCATTCCCAAGATCCTGAGCTGATGTGATGCTGTGGCTTTGGAGAAGGAATGCTGACAGCCTGCATGATAAGTGATCATGACAAACCTGCATGACAAGCCATCATGACAAACCTGCATGACAAGCCATCATCACAAACCTGCATGCCAAGCCATCATCACAAACCTGCATGCCAAGCCATCATGACAAACCTGCATGACAAGCCATCATGACAAACCTGCATGACAAGCCTGCATGACAAGCCATCATGACAAACCTGCATGATTAGCCATCATGACAAACCTGCTGTAAAGTCTGCATGACAAGCCACCATGACAATCCTGCATGACAAGTGATAATGACATACCGGCTGACAAGTTTGCATGACAATCCAGTGGACATCTGCCTTACACCAGAAGACCACTAACCAACCTAGTCTGGTTCTCACGGAGTCAGCCATTATCCACTGATTGAGTTTTCCTGTTCTTAACAGTATCCCCATGATTTAGTAGAACGTGAACAGATGCAGGTCGTAGATGATTACTACGTGGGTGAAGTCAGTGATGGGCATGATTAACCAAGGATCATAATCAGGTTGAATCTGGGAATCAAACTGTAGGCCAGAAATGATGTGACCCCCATGTCCTCCTCTAATCTCACAATACATACAGAACATTTAATAACAATCAAAAGTAGTTTTTGCAACAGTAATACTGTTTAAAGTCTTTAACACACAATACACTGACTAGACTTATCTTGTTTGTTTGACACAGAGATTTGTTAAAGACTCACAAGTGCAAGGAACTCAATATCTACTGCCCATATAATATCAAAGGATGAAGTTTTTAGACGGTACCTCTTCTAATATACGGAATCGGAAAATGTCCAGCCTAGTCTAAATCCACTAAAAGAGGATCTCTGGTGGAGCTACATTTATATTGAGAGATGATGTACCGTTGTCAACATAATAAGCACTCTGGGTGTTCAATCACATGGAGCACGTAGAAGACATGGGGGATTTTAAGGACATTGTACCACAATGTACCAAGACAATTCAAGTACATTCAAATTGTCTTTTTTTAGACATTTTATCACAATGTATAATAAAGGCAATTCAAGATCATTCCAGTCTTAACATGTCTTCAAATTTTGTATAAATTTTGTCATCTACTTTAAACAATTCTTATTCTGACTCAGGCCCTATTGAATGTTCAGCAGGGGTGCTAAATATGTCAACTACGGTATTTACATTGAGTGCCTGGGCCTCATTCTACATGGGAAACCAGACATTACAATCCACACATAACTCTCACAGAAGTACGACAGCCACAACTAAGAGGTCACGATGTAGAACGAAGCCCAGGATATGTGTCCACATGACGGCCATTACAGACACTTGTTACATATGCTGCTACTATTTCATTAGAGTTTGTGATCTACCACTAAACTGTAGTGCGTCGTCATAAAACCAGACTCGCGCACAGACCCATTCCCAGGTCGGATCTCGGTCTCAAAATATACTACGAAAAAAATGTTAAGGACCACTCTCTTCTTTCATATTACTATAGTTCATTTGTCATCCAATGGGAATAATCTGCACGTCATATTAACTACAGTAATATGAAAGAATCGGTGATCCTTTACTTCTTTTGAGTAGTATAGTTCTAAAACCCCAATCCATGAACTGAGATTGATTTAGTGAAGGTGTCCAAATCGGTACTGAAACAAAGATGCTGAAAGAGGTCAAGTCTTCGGGACCCTACCTTCCACGTTGTTTCGTGCAGAATGATTCATCAACATTTATCACAGAACACATGGTACTACTACTGGATTCCGCTTGAGCATGGAAAGTAGTCGTGGAGGAGGATCTCAAAGAAGAACTTCCAGACTATTCACCCTATTCTCACAACTACTGCATGCAGCTTTGTCACAATGTATGTGAAGAATTACAAGGCTGCTCACCAGCCAATTATGACAGAAATCACAGCATAATTAATGAATACAATTCAAACCACTATACTTTCATACTGTGTGCAGTACTGTCCTCAGAGACCTAGTCCACATCCACCACTGCACTACAACTAATGATTCTCAGAATACCCAGAGAAACTTCTGTAAGCCTCTGGACAGCCAAATCCTAAAATGACCAGGTCTTCTTGAAAGGGTCAACTCACTGTCAGGTGGACCATCACACATGACCGTTCAGGGCTTATTTACAACACCTTAAAATGTCTGAATTAAAGTAAGTGAGTGAGCTGGTTGTTGAACAGAAGTCAGTTATCTCATGGCATGGCATCTTAACGTCAGACATCATGATCTGGGTTTAGATCCATCCCCCTTATGTACAGGAGTAGACAGTAGCAGCACTATGGCGACATTAGTGATGATACTGTGTGAGGGAATCGCTCCAGGTGGCCATTCCGGTACTAACACGACACTGCCTAGGTCTTAAGACACCTGCTTGTTAATACCATGTTAAACTAATTATCAACTTGACCCTGTGTTTCAAACAACCATAGTTGGAACAAAATAGGGTTTGTCATAAAGTTTCATATTTTGTGTTACCATGGCAACCAGAAAAGACAGGAAAGCGTATTCACAGTGGCACTGCCACCAGATGAATGTTGCACTGACACCTTTTCCTATAATGGTCAACACGAAATGACTATTTGTGACTAAAATTATGTGCATTTTACGTTTGATTTTGAAACTCCAATGTCACGTTCCCACTCATGAATGATTGACACTGCCCCTTTTCATCCCAATGCATTACTTCAAAACTATGCCAAATATTATCTGTGACATGAAGAGCATAATCGGGAAACATGTACATACAAGATAAAGGACATGGATATAAGTTACTTCTTCCTAGTTTCAGTGGACCTTTCAACAAAGTAATGATGCAAGTACAGATACAGGGTTGAAATTAATACAAATCCACAAGTCAAAGACTCGTAAAATTCATAAAGGACCAGTGACATTTCCTTGCGGACTATCACTGTTCTATTAGGTAGATGGTAACTCTGTAGCAAATAAAATAGTGGAAATAAAAATTAATTTTCAATCCTGATTAATGACACAATGCCATGTCTAATGGGTGAAGGGTGAGGGGGGGGGGGGGGGGGGGGGGGGTGGTGAAGTTGGGGGTGAGGGAGATAATTACAGGAATGACACTATTGAAGTGAAATCAATATTGATGTCTACAAATGATGAAATAAAAATCAACAAAGTACAGAGTCCTCTTCAATAACTGTACAATAAATATTTACAAACAACAGCATATATTATCTGTTAACTGCCATGGCATTCACCACAACAGAGGTATTTCGTTAACTTGTTCCATGGTTCCATACACTCTAACTTTGCAGGTTGCGTCTCTCGACAATCGCAGATGGAAAGATGGTTGTGATACTGATGGAATGTCATTTTCAATTTCAGCCGTCTCTTCCAGACGGCCATGAAAACTGTGGTCCATGCTACACTACAGCTAGCATCATTGCCATAGATTTGTGGATAATGTCTGGCCGGAGTTCTGTGTGCCCCACCCTGCAGCCCCACCCTGGGGCATGCTTCCCATCTGTCCTGCCCCGCCCACTTTCATAGCAGCCATCTGTTGTTGCATCTGAAACAGTAGATTGAAGACCTAGTGAAAAGTGAATAGGACGCCAAACTGGTGCATACTGATAATTGGTTTCGTAGCAATTTTAATACATATAATATTAAGCAGAAATGCCTGGTCAAATATTCTTTAGGGGTCATTGACCCTACCACTGTCAGTCTGAGACCCTGGAATAGCACTGATATTCTATAGTGAAATCAAAACCAGCCTTGTGATAAGGGACCCGTGAAGATTCCGGGGTAGAATAGGTCTTCAGCAACCCATGCTTGCCGTAAAAGGTGACTATGCTTGTCGTAAAAGGCGACTAACGGGATTGGGTGGTCAGGCTCGCTGACTTGGTTGATGCATGTGATCGATCCCAATTGCGTGGATCGATGCTCATGATATTAATCACTGGATTGTCTAGTCCAGACTTGATTATTTTACAGACGGCCGTCATATAGCTGGAATATTGCCGAGTGCGGCGTTAAACAACAAACCAACTAACCAACCTTTTGATGAGGGCTGCAATTTCTGGAAATTAAAACTTTTAGTGTGTTGGACCAGCATCTCACATAGAAATTTATTTGTTTTTACACCACATTCAGCGATGTTTCAGCTGTATGATGGCCGCTTGTAAATAAGGGAGTCTGGTCCACAGAATCCGGTGATTGCTATTATAAGTGACAATCGACACCATTGGGGTATGAAGACACACAAGTCACCAAGCCTGACCACTGATCCATCTGGATAACTTATCTGGGTTCAAACGATCACCCACCTGGTGTCCATTTCATCTGATCAGTGAGAGGACATTATATTATGCAAAATGCAACAATTTTCCAGCGATATCGCAACAATCTGTAAACAGTGAAATCTTGGCGAGGCAGAGTAGTGGACCCAGTCTCCCAGTTCACGCAGCCTAATTACCTGGGTGCTGCTCCACAATGTATCCTTAGTTGCTCATATACTTACTAGACACCATTTAAGACAAACATGTTCTGTTCTTAAGGTTGTGTCTGACGACAAGCATGTGGGGACCCTTTCTGTCCTGGAAGCCCTTAAAGTGGAGTCCAGGGCACCGTTCCACAAAGCGATCTGAGCACTACGACTATCTTAAGCCAGTGTTAAAGTATGAGAGTTACGATCACCTTAGCGCTAAGATGACTTTGTGAAACAGGGCCCTGTTCTGTTCTGTCTTGGAAATCCTTAAGTTGGGGTTTCATTCCATACTGAATGTCCTTAAATTGGGGTTTTATTCTGTCCTGAAAGACCTTAGATGAATCTTGTTCCGTCCTTTGGGTGGGATTAGTTAGTCTGGATGACCTTCAATTGGGGGTCTTTTTTGTTCTGGAAGTCCTTAAGGTGTGTCTTATTCTGTCCTGGAAGTCCTTAAATTGGGGTCTCATTCGGTCCTGGAATCCCTTTAAGTGTATCTTGTTCTGTCCTCGAAGTCCGAGGTCTTGTTCTGGGTGCCGTTGTATGAAGAGATCTTAGTGCTAAGGTGATCGTAACTCCCATACCTCATAACAGACTTACGACAGTCGTAGTGCTAAGGTTGTTTACTACAAAGGCACTCTGTACTGGAAGTCCTTAAGGTGGGTCTTATCATGTCCTTGAAGTCGTTGAGTATGAGTTGTATTCTTTCCCCGAAGCCCTTAAGGATGAATCTGAGTGAGTGAGTGAGTGAGTGAGTGAGTGAGTGAGTGAGTTGGGTTTAACGCAGCTTTTAACAGTATTCCAGTTACATCGCGGCGTGGCAGCTTAATGTGGGAGGAAAGCCCGAAGTGATGCAGGTCTTAGACGTTTACCACTTCAGTGAAACCCACGAGCACGGGCACGGTGCTGACAAACCTAGAAACATAATCGGGGCGAACCAGGATTCGAACCCACAATCATAGGTTTCTGGCGTGCCCAAGGGATGCAACTCTGCACAGCGAATCGCTGCGCTTTATACGACTGGACCACCCGTGCCCCCAGGATGAATCTGATGACAAGCATATATATATAAAAATCAGGTGGGGGAGGAGAGGTGAGCACCCACCTGTTGGTACTGCATCTGCTGCATCTGTTGTTGTTGCTGCTGCTGCTGCTGCTGCTGCTGCTGGGGGAACATCTGCTGCTGTCCGCCCATCATCATGTTGCCCCCAGCCTGCTGCTGACCCCCCATCATCCCCCCTGGCATTGCCCCTCCCATCTGGCCCATCCCATACATGTGAGGCTGGAAAGAAAGGAATCATAGAATTGACAGTATGTTATCATGAGAGATGGTACAAAGTTCTCATTCATACAATTTTTGTCTCTATATCATGACAAGTCTATATTCAATGATTTGATTGATAAAATGACTTCTAAAACAGTTTTTTTCAAGAGATTTGTAAAGAAAATAACCCTCAATCAACATAGACAATTTCATATTTGTATTTATTTGTCTCTATCATTTTGCCTCTTGGTAATTTCACAAAGGTTATCAGTAAAACTTGAAAAACTTCTATGAATGCATAAGTGAGTGTGTGTGTGTGTGTGTGTGTGTGTGTGTGTGTGTGTGTGTGTGTGTGTGTGTGTGTGTGTGTGTGTGTGTGTGTGTGTGTGTGTGTGTGTGTGTGTGTGTGTGTGAGAGAGAGAGAGAGAGAGAGAGAGAGAGAGAGAGAGAGAGAGAGAGAGAGAGAGAGAGAGAGAGAGAGAGAGAGAGAGAGAGAGAGAGAGAGAGAGAGAGCCACTAGTCTGGCAGGGTAACATGTACCATTATTTTAACATGTTTTTGTGCCAGGGATAGAACGCTTTCTGGGGAGACACTAGATCCACTACACCAGGGAGGCACACTCAGATGATGAGTGAATATGGCTTTACGCTGCATTTAGCTATATTCCAGCAATATCACGGCGGGGGACACCAGAAATGGGCTTCACATTGTACCCATGTCGGGAATAGAACCCGGGTCTTCGGCGTGAGTGAATGCTTTACCCATAAGGCTACCCCATCGCCCCCTCAGATGTGGAGGATGCAAAACAAACATTGCCCATAATATTACTGCCAGAACTCACCTGCTGCATTCCCATCATGCCTTGCTGATACTGCATGCCCTGCATGCCCTGTTGACCTGACATCGCCTGTTGACCTGGCATGGCACCACCATACATGCCCATGCTCTGCTGGGGCATGTACATGCCTCCTGGAATGTACAACGACCATCTCAATGAATCCGCTGTGCTTGATTAATCCAACATCACCATGATCACAGAATCACATTCAAAAGTTAGACAATCGTTTGAGTTTTAACTGAGTTTCAATGATTAATTTAGCATTGCTGTCACTATGAAGGCCTACCATTGAAAACTGAGTGTCTTTATTAGTGCTACAGTTTGTTTGTTGTTTTATGGCTCACTCAGCAATATTCCAGCTATTTGGCAGCTGTCTGGAAATAACTGAGTCTGGAACAGACAATCCAGTGATTGACATCATAAGCATCGTCCTATTTCGATACAATGACATGCATCAACCAAGTCAGTAAGACTGACCAGCCAATCAATCCTGTTAGTTGCGATAAGCATGGGTTGCAAAAAAACCATTCTTCATGGGGAGAGTGAAACAGATTGGAGGCCACATCTAGTGGCCATTTTGAGTATCCAATACCCATTTAGTGAGTGAGAGAGGTTGATCCAACGCTGCTTTGAACATTTTTTCAGTCATATCACTTTGCATCAGCTTTATGTGTAAGAAGAAATAAAAGTGATGCAGGTCTTGGACTAGTCTGTCTTACAGACCCAGATACAAATATATATCAAATACAGCCCATGCAAGTCTATAATGTTTGGCAAGTCTAGATCACTGCAGTATCAGGAAATGAAGAGAGTCACTGGGCTCCTTTTTATTATATTTTTATTAAGATAACTGAACAACTGTTTTTTTTATGTACGATATGTTCATTTCAGAGACTAGATTTTAGTCTAGCCTTGGACATTTACCAGTCCGGTGAAACAATGATCATGGGTATGGTACTGCCAACCCAGAAACATCATCAGCGCGAATGGGATTCACACCCACAACCACTGGTTTCTGGCACATCTAAGGGACACAACTCTGCACAGCAAATTATAGTTCCTGAGTTGTGTCCCCAATCCCCTTCAGATGTTCAAAAAAAGTTAAGGACATAATGATTCTTTCATATTACTAGATTAACAGACGACAGATTAACTGCAGTAACATGAAAGAATCTGGAGTCCTTAACTTTTTTTGAGTAGTATAGCATCAATGTGTTACATGAACTTATTCTTCATTAGACTTATGCAAGGTACAATAGTGGAGTTCATATCACAAACTAATTATGATTTATTCTAGTCAGCATGCATTTGATCTATCTATTTAGCATTGACAAAAAGAAATGACATATTTTGATACCAAAGCAAGATCACCTCAAAAGTTAGCATGGAAAATGGGTTCAAGTCAGCTAACGTTATGACTCTACCCCAAACTATGATCTAAACTTGTTGCACAGAAAAAGAAAGGAAAATGATGTTATTCACATTAGACACAATTTTATGGATAACAATTTCTTTAATACTGTAAAAAGCGACGTTTCGGTATAGATCCTTATACTGTTGTCAAGCAAGACTTTCTTGTCAAGTCTTGCTTGACAACGGTATAAGGATGTCGCTTTTTACAGTATTAAAGAAATTGTTATTCATAAAATTGTGTCTACTTTGTCATCCGTCAAATTCTAAGTAATGCCTATCAAACAAGTTATTCATATTGTTCTACAAAACTTTCTGCAGAATACACTGAAAATGTATAAAAAACAAGCAAAAGCCAGCCTAACTTGAAAGAACTTCAATTTGTACAGCAAAATCATGTCTTAGTTGGGCTAAGAAGGGTGACATAACCTGTTTAGGCAGGGAAAGGTTTTGCTATACCGGTATATCCAAGCTGCACCAGTGCAGGCAACACATTGCAAGTGCAGGTAACTTTTATTGCCAGGTTGCACCCAGTGCAGGTAACTTTTATTGCCAGGTTGCACCCAGTGCAGGTAACATTTTCCACTACAAGTTAAAGGCAGCACTTTTCTTTCATAAAAGTGGAAAACTGAATTCTTTTTAGAACTGGCTGCAAATCTTTTATGTTCATGAAAATAGTGAAATACACAGGTCTGAATGGAGTTAATTCGCAGGTTTGGGTTTAGGAATGAGTGTGGGTTTGCCCACAACAACCAGATAAATCAAGTTAAAATTTTAGTGTGTGGTGTGGTTGGCCGTATAGTGTGGTGCATGTATTGCACCTACGAGAGGAAGTTCAGTCACAACTTGACCTTACATCTGATAACATAAGTGAGGCATACCTTTTACTGTCATTAATACATCCATTTCAAGTTGCAAATTGTGCATTTTCACATGCCTGCACGAGAACCCCACAGTTGCTGCTCTTATGCCCATGCGTTGACAGCAATAAATAGTACAATACCTATAACATTATGCATTACAAATAGCCTTTTGTGTAAATGACATTTCTATAGATATTTGTATCAGATCAATATGTCTGACAAATACATGTACTGAGGCAAAGAGGCCTTGCATATTGAATAGAAACTCTCAGAGATATATGGCAACAATAGCATGCATTAAGACCAGCAGGCTGGTAAAGCCTCGCTCCCACAACCATAGTCTATGCACAAAGACTGGAGTTTAGGTAACAGTTTCAAAAACAGATAAAGCCACAAGCCGATGATGGAGGGAACGTCTCCAAACAAACACAAAATGAAATGTAAAATTAACATAAAAAGGTAATAATCAGAGCTTCAGGCAGATTTTGAGTACCTGTGGGTAAAACAACCCATTTGCTAATATTACTGACAGGAAGTTTTGTTTGTTTGTTTGTTGTCTAACACCGCACTCAGCAATATTCCAGCTATATGATGGCCATCTGTAAATAATCCAGTCTGGACCAGGCAATCCAATGATTGACATCATGAGCATTGATCCACCCAATTGGGATAGGATGACATGCATGAACTAAGTCAGCGAGCCTGACCACCTGATCCCGTTAGTCGCTTCTTACGACAAGCATAGTTGCCTTTTGCTGCAAGCATGGGTTGCGAAAGACCTATTCTACCCGGGATCTTCACAGGTATTGTCAGGATACCATAATCCTCAGACAAGAAAGATGTTGTATTGTTTCAGGGGTCTTTGACTGTGACCCTTGGCAATCTGAAGCTCTGTATAACAGTGAAGAGTTCAAGATGAGATCAGAACAAATGGAGAAGCACCAGGAGGCTCCAAGAGGGTCCCAAGGGAGGTAAGTCTGCATGCAAGAGGATCCAAAATGCACCAAACCCTTTTCCCAATTTGTATTTCTACCTGCATCATAGTAAAATAGCCCTTGTGGCATTAAACACATTTGAGGCTGGGTCATTGGCTGATGAAACATCTGTTGATTGGTGGGAATCTGACTACTTGACATCTGATTGGTCGACAGGTGCGGTGCTGATTGTATGGTCAGTTGTGAGGGTGTCGGCAGAAGGCCTGCTTGACTTGGAGTAAACTGCAGCAGATCGTCACTGCTTGGTGCAGACGTTGCTAACAAACAGGACAGCGGATAGAGTTGATTCACAAAAGAAGAAACCAGATAATCCAAACTAAGCTCAAAGCAAATTATGTTACATCCTTGACACCAGGTTGTTCGACACTTCACACCTACCTCTAGGAAAAGACTAATGGTAACCTCTAATCACTAAATCTACAACTGTGTAGCTCTTAACACAGTTGACTGTTCAAACATTAAATTATTTCACAGCACATCAAATCTGGGTATGTGTGTGGGTGTGTTTGTGGTTTAATGCTGCACTCAGCAATATTCCAGCTATATCACAGCAGCCAGTAAAAAATCGAGTCGGGACAAGACAAGGGATTGATATTGCGGGGAAAATGTCATGGTATCTTGACATGTCATCAACCAAGTCACTGAGTCTGACCACTCGATCCACTAAGTCGCCTCTTATGACAAGCATACATTTCTGGATACCTATTCTAACCTGGAATTCCCACTGGGTCAAATCTAGGTAAGGGATGCAGCTCTTTCAAACATCTTAATTTGACCAGCATGCAAAAAGAATTTTGTCGAGCCAAAATTATTATGTTGACATTATCATCATGATCATGTACATACACTCGAAAAATAAACCATCAGGCCCAAGTCTGTACTTTTAGACAACAGCGGATTTCATTTTGAATGTTTGAAACTGGATTGACAAAAATGAAAGAAAATGTGACAAATTTCACAAACATCAAGCAAGGAGTACAAACATAATGGTTTCATTCCTTACAATAAGATGAACTTCTCGGCCACGTTCCACAAAGCAATATTAGAGCTACGACTGGGGTAAGCCTATGTTAAATTATGGGAGTTACAGTTGTCTTAGCGCTAAGATCGCTTTGAGAGTGAGTATGGTTTCACGCCGCTTTTAGCAACATTCCAGCAATATCAGACGGGAGACACCAGAAATACCAGGCTTCACACATTGTACCCATGTCATTAATCGAAGCCGGCGTGATGAGCGAACGCTTAAACTAGGCTACCCGACCACCCATAGATGACTTTGTGTAACGGACCCTGGTCAGAACATATTGCTAGTGATTGACGGTTACCAGTAGTCATATTCTAGGGTATTCTAGGTAGGTTTAAGGAGCATAAACTCTGGGCTCAAGAATATGTTGGTTAGTATCATTAGCACTGTTAGTGCAGAGAAAGCTGAACTTCATGTGAATTGTGCTATTCCGCACATGGTTAGTGATCAGTACTCAATATACACAAATACACATAGATTACACATATATGTACAGAATAGTTTAAGCAATTAGCAATAATGGATCACTGTTACAGTGTATGTATGCCAAAACTGGAATGCTTTTATGACATTAAAATTAATCAATGAAGTGTAATGTATCATTCTCTTAAACTTTACCTTCTGGCAAGTGTTCAGAATAATTATTGATTTGTAGGAAGTTGTTAACTTCGTATTCATCAAATTGAGAGCCACTTTTCTCAAAATTAGAGACACACAAATAACAAAAATTGGAGAGTAAAAGTTTTAGAAAACAGAAATTGTTCCCCGAAGTGGCATGTTTGACCATGTTGACATATACAGACATATGGTGGCCTAAACCATGTATGGATAAAAGGATTCAGAATTGTTCACACTTACTATCAGAACATATAAGATTAGTTCATGCAAGTATGTTATTTCCAAAGAACCATAGATAACTTTTTCATAACCTTTCATTTCAAGATAGTTCCTACACAGTTGACAGTGTTCCATGGTTGCTAGGACCGTGGTTCACGGTTGCTAGGACCGTGTTCCATGGTTGCTAGGCAGTGTTCCATGGTTGCTAGGACAGTGTTAGTCGTACAGAGTACACCCCCTCCTCACCTGGCACGCCAAACATCTGGGGCTGCTGCTGTTGCCCTCCACCGCCGCCGCTACCGTACAGAGCCAAGATGGATTCCTTTGTCGATTTCTCTGAACCTCCCTTGTCAGACCCTCCGTCTTCAAACAGGCTGGCCTCCAAAGTGCCATTCTAGAGATGCACATAAGCATTACATCATCATCATCATCATCATCATATATGTATCATCATCATCATCTATGTAGATTTGTTTGGTTGTTTTTTTGTTTAACACCGCACTCAGCAATATTCCCACTATATGATGGCGGTCTGTGAATAATCAAGTCTGGACCAGACAAACCAGTGATTGATATCTTGACCATCGATCAACGCAATTGGGATACAATGACATGTAATACTTTTCTTTCGTATCATTTCAGGAACATAAACGTAGAAATTTACAATCTTTCAACTCTGTTGTTTTTCACCAAAATTATATTCTAATAAGAGCCCCCTATTTCTAATTTTAGGAGCGCCCTGGGCACTTATTACGTCAAATATGGTATTTGGTATTTGATGTATACACCAAACATTAATTAGTAGTGAAAGTTAGTTGTGAAAATGTAAACCAACAGTATGTCGGGTAATTTGGCCATGCTGTCTATGAGAAAGATGGCTTTCGCACCACAGATAAGAGTACATGCAAGTATCCTGATACATATCAGATGGTGTACAAGGTATCATGATACGTATCTGATCATACAGTTGGAGCATTGTCCCAGCCCTAGTTATCAGCATGATCGTGATATTTTTTTTTGCAGCAATTCATTGCAATAAGCACCAATAAGTTCACAACCCTCTTCATACCTAAAACTTTTTTTTTGTCTTTATTATCATTATAAATAAGACAAATGTAAAATGGTTCTAATGAGTTTATACCAAATGGACAATGTATCATGGTTTATTCGAAAAAGACCACATGCTAATAACCAGTTAGAGAGTGAGTGAGTATTGTTTTACGCCGTTTCTAGCAATATTCCAGCAACATCACAGCGGGGGACACCAGAAATGGGCTTCACACATTGTCGGGAATCGAACCCGGGTCTTCTGCGTGATGAGCGAACGCTTTAACCACTAGGCTACCCGACCGCCCTACCACTTAGAGAAGCTGTCAGCAAAAAAAACTGTATCTTGAAGTTCAACATGTTTTTTTCTCTCATGTTTAGGTCTGTTGTTCCCTTGGCTACAGAGATACATGTGAAACAATTACAGGAATAAAAACATCAATTAACAAATTGGGGAAATAAAAAGTTAAGTATGACCAGTTCTCATGACACACGTCTGTCCTCACTAACCTGTTGTCCTCCTAGAGCCTGGTTGGCCCCCACCCCAAGGGCAGCACCTGCACCCCCTGACGCAGGTGGAGCTGGTTGGGTAGGGGTCGGGGTGTTGCCAAATATGTCAGCAAGCAAGTCACCTCCTCCGTTGGGCTGTTGAGTTGTGGGAGATGAGGCATCTGTAAGAAGAAGGCACAATTTGGAAAACTTGTCGTAACTTCCTCACTGAACCTTGTCGTAACTTCCTCACTGAACCTTGTCGTAACTTCCTCACTGAACCTTGTCGTAACTTCCTCACTGAACCTTGTCGTAACTTCCTCACTGAACCTTGTCATAACTTCCTCACTGACCCTTGTCGTAACTTCCTCACTGAACTTACAATTATTCGTGTCGTAACCACTCATCATGATACCTCCTCTTGGAGTGGTGGGACGTGCTTTACATCGCCTGATCGTATTTCAGTTATATCACAGCGTGTCAGCTTGGTGGGGGATGGGAGGAAACCCCAAAGTGATGCAGATATTGGATGTTTACCACTTTGGTGAAACCCATGAACATGGGTATGATGCTAACAAAACAAATAACAAGACAATAAGTGAACAGGGCTCACTAATACCCCCGACCTTGACTCCAACATATTTCTAAGTTCAAAACATGAAAAAAGCAATTTTTTCTCAGAAAATCCACTTATCGAAAACAAACTTTGCACTGCACCTCTCCTATTGGCACAGAAACTGTACACCCAATTGGAAAAGAATCCATTAAGCAGTTTTCAAGTTAAAGGTCGCACAAATGTTTCAGTTACAAAATGCAAAAAACAGCTGTATTGTTTCAGGAAGTCCAAATATTGAAATCAAACTTCGCACTGCACTTTTCCTATAGGCATAAAAAGTGTTCACCAAGTTTGAAAAGAATCTATTTAGTAGTTTTCAAGTTATAGGTCACACAAAACAAATGTCCTCGTAGGAACAGACGGATGGACGGACAGATGGACGGAGGGAATTCCTTGGTATATGTACAACTATATACCCCCACACTTTTACGCCGAGGGTATAATAATCCAGGAACATTCCAAAAGATTACTCAGCAATATTCCAGCTAAACGACAGCAGTCTGTTGATAATCAAGTCTGGACCAGACAATCCAGTGATTGATATTGATAATAATGATCCACACTGTCTTGACCAAGTGACACACGTGACCACCCGATCAGATCCATAGTTTGCTGGGGGCCTACTCCAACCCAGAATCCCTACCTGGGACTCTTGTTTGTAATGAGTCAAGCTAGTTGACCCGTTTAGCACAGACTGGTTTTCTTAATTGCCTTAATTATGCCATCGTCACTTACTATACAATAAATGGCAACACAACAATTATATATACATGAAGTAACTGTTGAACTCAGTTAATTTAATCACTTACAGATTATGTTTTAATAACCAAAAGCATGGAAGGTAAATGGAGGAAATAAATATGAAATTACAATCTTAACAACAGTTTGGAAAAATTAATGAGAAATGAATAACATTTTTTTGGAAGGAAAAGAAACAGGATTGCACAACATCCCTTCCTATCATGCCTACAGTGACAAACTTTTCCTCATTTACGAAAGTTTGGGTTGGTGGACCCATAAACCAAGCGATTTAAAAAAATCAATTTTATAACCATCAATACATGATAAATCAAAGTGTATTATTGTAAACATTATTATCCAGATTATCAAATTATGTTTCAAACACATACTTATACTTGTGCTGGAAGGAATTAATGCAATAACATGCCAATATCAACAGAGCGTATCATTATCAGGATCATTCAGAATCAGAAAGAGATGATTAATGCATTTATAGAACATTCCTCCACCACCCCAATTGTAACATCATGTCACAAGCCTCAAAGTACACAATGGCACAGATCACTCATGATGTTGGCAAGTTTCAGCGGCTGAGCATTTGCAAATCTTCTTCTTGCTGCTTCATCAAGTCTAAGTTTATATTCTCAGTGGCGAGGTGACATGGGTCTTAACATTGCATTCGCTTAACATTGTTGCACTCATATAAAGTGAGTGAGTGAGTTTGGTTTAACTCCGCTTTTAACAGTATTCCAGTTATATCACTGCGTGTCAGCTTAATCATTTTAATGTGTGAGGAAAGCCCAAAATGATGCAAGTCTCAGACGTTTACCACTTCAGTGAAACCCACGAGCACGGGTATGGTGCTGACAAACCAAGAAACATAATCGGGGCGAACCAGGATTCGAACCCACAAATCATAGGTTTCTGGCGTGTCCAAGGGATGCAACTCTGCACAGCGAATCACGGCGCCTTAGACGACTCAGCCACCCGTGCCCCCCACACTCATATAAAGACATGCATGGACCTTTTTGTGTGATTGTACTAAGCTAGACTTATAACGGTCTTAAAGTGCCAGTTCACTGAGAACCATGCAGTAGTTTAACACTCAGACACATTATCATCATTATGTTGACTCCAAACTGGATGGTCCTTGTTTTATCCCTTTAACATATATGTTTAATGCCAAGTGCCAGGCAGGTTCAAAAGTACCATCTTTTAACGTTGTTTGGAATGACAAGACAAGGATTGAACCATTAACCTTCTGCTCTCCAGACAGGCTGAGTGAGTTGGGCCGATAAGATTATCTCTTACTGGGTGTCAGCTCAATGTTGCAAGGAAATCCAACAGTGAGGACTGTCTTAGATGTTTCCTACTTTGGTGAATGCCAGAGCACGATATGGTGCCTGCAGACCAACAATCATCCACTGGGCAAATCAAAGATTCAAACCATCGATCAGCGGATCCTGGCATGGTTAAGGGAGACAACTCTGTAAGCTCCCTGGGTCTGTGCACCTTTCTTGAAGTGAAATAATGCTAATCAAGAACCATCCCTGAAAGAGGTTGTGCGTAAGGTTTAAAACCTTCCCGTTTTTACAAAATGCATATCAAAGACTTTACCGACATACACAATAAAAGGCCGGAGCTATGACTTTAAGGACATACTGTACCATGTCATTACAGACCTAGAGGGTCCTCCTGACCTGTACCTGTCCTATACCATGTATACCATCACCGAGTGCGTCAGATAACAGGAGACAGCAGTCAGAAAGAGAACAGATCCCACTGAACGTAACTGAATCAACAAATGCTCAAGACTTCGCCATAGGTCTGTGTGACACAAACATCATTTCCTCAGCATTGGAAGTAATTCTCTAAGATAAAATGCAACTATGAGTATGCTTATTGTACATGACAGACAATGAGGTCCTTCTTAGTAACTTAACAAGCTGGCAGAGTAATCACAGTGCTTGTCGTCCCATGAGGATATCTTAGCAGCACTCAAAGGTGAGATGTCACGTACCTCGGGCCAAGTCTCAAGCACACTTTCCAAACCAAAATATAAAGTTTGATGAAAAGAACATAACGAACATAAGCCAGAAGTTGAAGTTGGTACTTACTTTGGGACATATAATATGTCTCTGTTACAACAGACAGGAACAGAATAGAACATTATAGTTAGGGTTAACACGCAAACCTTGACATGAAAAATGCATTGAACAAGTCAGTGACAAATATTAAGTCTAAAATCAGTTCTCAGGAAATGAAAGCTTAATATGTGTTCATTTCTTTGTAGTAATTTTTCAAGCATGAAAAAGTGTAATAAATATATCTAAAAATGTCACTCTTTGTCCACAAACATCCCATGATTTCACTGAGAGTGATAATTTCAAACACTGTAACTCCTGTCGTGAGACGAAGACCCCAGACATTATACACAACACTAGCAGTTCTACCATGTTCTACAGCAACAGAAAAATTAAGGAATGCACTGAAAATGTGTAAGTATTTGGAACCGGGAAATTACAAAAGCAAAATATATTTGTTTCTGTTAACAATTAAACACATGTTGTTAGGGAGGACAAAAACATATTATCTTTTTCCAAAAGCATATACAGGTTTAAAGAGCTTCTGGTTTGATCACACTGTTTATGGTACTGGCTTTACCATGGTCATGGCTTTGCCATGCTCAGTTAATGTCAGATGTCTCCTCAGCTAGGCTAAGATGGTCATCCTTCTGTAAATGATACAGGTGTGTGTTTGTGTTTATCTTACATATACAGTACAGGTAAATCTCCTCACCTAGACCAATGAGGTCCGCAGCGGCTGTGCTGGGCTGGGGCTGTTGGACAGGGGGTGGGGACTTGGTCACAGGTTTGGCCTGGTCAGGGGACGACTTCTTCTCTCTGCTGGAGCTGCTGCTGGCTGATGATTTGGGGACCTAAGACAAGACAGAGATGTACAATGTACGTTTGTTTTCATTTGCTTGTTGTCCTATGCCACAGATCAGTCACTTTGCCATATATATTTTCTTTTAAACAGAACCATCACTTAAAGCACTTAAAACTTTCTTGACTTTTGAGTATTCACATTAATCAGAAGAACTGGGAGACAATTTTCCCACAGTATTGAAGTTCTACTGAAAATGCTACACTTTTCTCATATAAAACAGCCAGTCCTGCAAATAGGTTACTGGGTGCCATTGTGATCTTAGCACTAAGGTGATCGTAACTCCCATACATTAACAAAGACATTAGTCATAGCGCTATGGTTGTTTAGTACAAAGGCACACTGGGTGACATTCTACAAAACCTTAGTGCTACAACTGTCTGTCTGTGTTAAAGTATGGAAGCTACAATCATCTTAGCGCTAAGATCGCCTTGTGCAAGTGCGCCCAGGTCATTCACAAGCACAGAGATGCCAGTTAAGCCAGGTCCACATGGCCAAGAATGTACTACTATGTCCTACAGGGTAACGCTAACAGTGTTCAGCTGCTGCCCGTGGTTCAAGTTTCTGTCCCTGTCATTGTGGTTTCACCCCACACAGGGACATGCATGAAGGTTTGATTTGCGAAATCCTGAAACATCTCTGACGGGCTACTTACTGAGCTGAGTTGGATGGTAGAGGCTGGTTTGGACTTGGAACGTTTCTTTTCTCTATCGTCTTCTAGCCACTGAAATCACACACACATGTATCAGGGATGCCTAGCTCCGACATGAACACGAATGCCCTTCTCAATGGATCGATATTGCTGCAATAGAAACTAACATCATCCAGCAGTCCTTATAATGATAACATGTAGCAAAATCCTCAAAAATGGCAAATTAATGCTAGACCATATCATCATGATCATACCTTAACTATGACAAGGACTTTAGGACAAGTGCCAATTTCTATTGCTGTAACATTCATATATTTCAATAAAACATATCAATGATATACTTTATAACATGAAACGAAACGAGGATTACACATACATATGTATAGGAAAATACATCAATCTAAAAACATACAGTCGCAAAATTGTCATGGATATATATATATATATATATGGTCTTACTATATATACTTGTATAAGTACTACTAGATGTAGCAATCACGGTTATATCAACAAATCTACACAGCTAAGGGAAGCAACTCTGAGCAGCAAGTTGCAATTGGCCACTAGTGCACCCAGGCATCAGAGGAAGTCTGCATTCTGAACTGGTCTGAGTGGGATATTAACCTAATCGGTATGTCTTGTACGAGTACAAGGACACAGTGTAGTAAACCCTTTTACCAAAGTTAAACAAAAGGGTAAACAAATAATCCACACAACCAAATCATAAAGAATTCAAATGAGTAAATAACCATTGTAAATACATGATGGAGACATTAAAAACATATTCGGCCATGCCCATACTCTACATCCTGGGTCCGGTTCTACAAAGCGATCTTTGCGCTATGATTATCGTAAGCCTATGTATAAGTAAGGGAGTTACGATCATCTTAGTGCTAAGCTGGAATGGGGCACAGAAGTCCTGCTGACAGGACATGGCGACTTAGTAAGATAATGACATACATCAGCAATCCTGCACAGATTGATCAAATCAATCCGGCAAGTCTTTCTCTAAGTTGTTATGGTTATTCTATTAAACTGTTAATTAAATAAAATGCTGTGGCTCCTATTACATGTATTACTACAGTAACATGTTTTATCATGATTATCATGATTATGAAGTTTGAAGTTGTAAAAGTGATGTTCATTAGACAATTTAGTTGATGTAGCAAAAATACAAGCAGGACCAATGTTTCTATAGCCTTCGATCCTTCAGGAGTTTAATTTACAAAACTGGTTTCAGATTTCACTGCTTAAAGCAGTCCTATCGTCCTACGAGGGGAAACATTTTGTACCAATCATACTATAACTGTCTGAAGTTTTGTGTGGCAAATACAGGGTGGTTGTTATTTGTATGGCAAAAACCCTGGTAGATCCACCATGGGCACAATCTTGATATACCATCTTGATATACCATCTTGTTATACCATCTTGTTATACCATCTTGTTTTACTATACAAGAACAGAGTACATAACCCATCACCAACCACTTCCACAGCACACGACACCTTACCTTGCTATTCAACTTCAGAGAGAATTTGCAAAGGAAATTTCTTTATGAAGATTTCAGAGAGAAAATATGCAAAATTTCTGTGAAGTTTCTATCTTAAACAGTTAAATGGACAAATTCTAATTTATCACTGCAAAGAACTTTGCCCCAATCTCATTAACATCAGATCTTAGTTCTCGCTACCGCTAAAGAAGAATCTGAGGATATCCAATTACGGGTTGTCAGAATGACCTTTCATCCAACCAATCAGAGCGTCGCTTACCAGATAAGGAAAGTGACAGTCAGAATGTGTTTTCTAATCATGCAACCTCGAAAAATTTAACATGGGGTATTCCAAACGGCGGTTACAAGCAGATATAACTGAATCCATACAATATATTCACCATTCCAGAAATCTGGAAATCTGTCAAAATGTTTTGAAGAATAGTTGCCAGTTTGAAACTAGTGCCAAAAGAACAAGAAAGCTGCCTTTTGATTGGCTAATGTTGACTTCTTGTTAGTCATTTCATTGGTCGGTCAAAGTTCACAAAAGGTTGGTCTCACGTGACCCGTAATTGGATATCCTCAGATCTTTGTTTAGCCATAGCGAGAAGATCTGATTTTGATGAGATTGAACTTTGCCCTTTCATGGAAGTTGTCACTAGAGTCTTTAGTATTAGTTTCCTGAGAGAACAATGCATATTTGGATTTCAGTTAACCCATTTTTACTTGGGATAGGTATTGTAGGTTAAAGTGTATCACAATATTTAATGATGCACATTGCCATATGTATCATGATATACAAACTAATTCTATAATTCTAAATTTTGAATTCAGAAGCAACTTAAATCACCAGTGTATGAATTGAAGTTCATAAATGGAACAAAACAAGATGCTTGTACAACACAATGTTCACGCTCCGGGTATTTTGGTAAGTGAAACATGAAACATGAAACACATTATAAAATCGCTGTTTGAAATCACCCGATATACCAAACATTAAATAATGACATTGTGATACGTATCGTGGAAAGAGTATACCAATATACTGTTAATACCACACACCCTTATTATTTACACAATGCTTCAAGACTTGGTTTACGACTGCGATATGTATCAGGAAAGGGTGTATTGACACAAGGAACACCAGTGATTGATGGCGGGAACGAGAACATGGGGAGGGGTTCACTCCTACTTTTTGAAATACGATCAGTCTACGTCCTGCAGTATTTATTCAAATAACTTATTACTTAATGATCATGATCATTATAACCAAGAATGCCCTATCAAAAGTTGATAAAATTATTAAAATGTCCAAATAACGTTTGTTTCAAGTAAAATCACTGCAATGTCACACATTTCATCATACACGGGAGAATAATAGGAACGTAGCTTCATACCAAACAGTCCTCATATTGATACAACTGTCGTAGCAAACAGTATCTATATCTATCTACATCTATATCTATATCTATATAAATATAGCAGGCATTCATGTAACAAAAAATTATGCCGAGTACTTTCACAGCAAAATTTGTTTGAATCCAGTAATGTGAAAGTTAGTGTTAGGGATTTCATTGTACATCAAGATATATCAATACATCGGCACATTTTCAACCAGTGAGTGAGTGAGTGAGTGAGTGAGTGAGTATGGTTTTACACTGCTTTTAGCAAAAGTCCAGCAATATCACGGCAGGGGACACCAGAAATGGGCTTCACACATTGTACCGATGTTGGGAATCGAACCCGGGCCTTCAGTTTGACCAGTGAATGCTTTAACCACTAGGCTCCCCAAACGCCACTGATTTTTAATCACGATGAGGTACCAATGCAAATTTATGAGTATTGATAATAAAACAATAATTCACTGCCACAGAAATGTTTACATTTATGAAGATTACTATGATGGTTAAGATGGACATTGAAGAAAGCAGAAAATACCACTTTTAACAGTAAATGGATCAGCTTATACTCCGACTGTAATGATTAGTTCCACTGTGTTAAAACACAAGTAATATGTGATCAAGGCTGTTGCCATGGTTACAATTTAACTTACCTCTTTTGGTATAGTTGGTTTAGGCGGAACCCACTCTCGTGCAATGTATTTCTTATGCTCATATTTGGCTCTTATAAAAGCCTCAAGAGCTCTGCTGGTCGTCAAGGAAACATGTTGAAACAAATCCTTAAATGCCATTGGACAAGAATCATCTTGAATATAATAAAGTTGATTAAACACCATAAACATCGAGAAAAAAGTGAACAGCAAAAAAAGATTTTTTAAAAACTCCCGGTCTGCCAAGGTTTAACACAAACATTTCTATCCAAACTTTTTGTGTGTGAACTAGCTGCAAGAAATTCTCAAAGTGCATGGCATATGCAAGGTATATGAAACTGTAACACTGATTTTGAACTTAATATCACCTGACCTGATAAATATGTTATATTTTCACATCTCCAAACAATAAATGGTTCAATGTTCTACCAAGGTCAGTCTGTCTCAAGTTAGAACCAGTTACCAGAATACTAGCATCTTTTGTTAATCAGTATTTCTGTTCATAAACTGTCACAGAATCTGAAGGGTCCAGAACAAAGATATACACTGTACATTCTTCATTAAAGTACAGTGTTGTTTCCTTCTGTGAATATTTACAATGCCTCTAGCATGATTAGACAACAAGGAGCATGAACTATCATGAACCATCTTGCACATTATCTCAAAATTCCTGTATAAACATATGAAAACATATTGTTTGTCTGTTGTTTAACACTGCACTCAACAATATTCCAACTATATGATGGCGGTCTGCTGACAATCCAGTGATTGACATCATGAGCATTGATCCATGAAATTGGGATAAGATGACATGCTTCAACAAAGGCAGCAAGCTACCACCCGATCACAGTAGTCGCCTCTTGCAAAAAGCATAGTCGCCTCTTACGGCAAGAATGGGTTGCCAAAGACCTCTTCTAACCCAGATCTTCATGGGTAAGCAGGGCTCACTAATATCCCAGACTTTCACTCAAACACATTTCTAAGTAAACATGAAAAGACAATATTTTCACAGAAAATCCTCTTATCGAAATCAAACTTTGCACCCCACCTCTCCTATCATAGAAACTGTACACCCAATTGGAAAAGAATCCAATGGATAGTTTTTAACATGTTTAAGTTATAGGTCGAACAAATGTTGAAGAAAAAACAAATTTTAAGTTCAAAACATGATAAAGGAAAATCAATTTTTCTCAGAAAATACACATATCAACATCAAACATGGCACTGCACCTCTCCAAAGGTATAAAATGTGTTCCTTAAATTTGAAAAGATTCAAAGTTATAGCTCTCAAGTTATAGGTCGCATAAATATCGAAGTACAAACAAGTTTTTTAGTTCAAAACATTTATAATTTCATATTTTCTCAGAAAATCCACAAAGTTTTAGGTCACACAAATGTTTAAGTGAAACAATTCTAAGTAAAAAAAATAAAAATGGCTGTATGTTTTCAGAAAATTCAAATATTGCAATTAAACTATGTACTTCACCTCTCCAACTGGAATAGAAAGTGTTCACCAACAGAATGCATGCAGTATTTTTTTAGTTACAGGTCGCATAAGAATATGTCCTCAGTAGGACAAGCGGACAGAATTCCTTGGAATAACTTTATACCCCTGCTCTTTTAGATCGGGGATATAACTTCAAAATTTGTTGTTATGGCAGGCAAGGAAATTAAGCAAAGTTGAACAGTTATCATAATGTTTTAAAATGCGCATGAGTCAGCGCACAAGATATAGGGTGGTCTGGTCATCCCATTTATACGTCTCTGGTACAATGATGGGAATGATCTATTAGCCAAAATAACAAGGATTTACATGAAAATGCAAATGCTGCACATAGAGAAGAGAATAGCAGAATGAAAGCTGCATAAATTAATCTAAACTAGGACCAGCTGTTGCAGCTGTGTGGAAGAACTCCTCTCACAGTGTCACCTGATACCTAGCTGTATTTAGAAGGCCTGTGACGTCAGCCTATTGCTCATTCTGATTAACATTCATTATTCCTGTAATGATATACGGCTCCACCACCACCATAGCTTCCATCTACATGTGCATTAATGCCCACAGTCCGGCTCCTGTGGAACTGCTTAAACAACTGCAGCACTGTTTCATTCTAACCATGATGATTCTAATCAGCTGTCAGATCAAGATTATTATTCGTCCCTACTGTGTGCCAAGACTTGTTTTAAAACATACAGAGGATGCAAATGGATTCTATACCAATAACCTGTTTTAGGATTTTTACATCCTATGATACAAGATGTTATTATTCTTAACCATATCCATGTTCACATGTTGTGTTGTAGTGTGTAAACAACCTTGAACATAGCTTCTCGTAATTCCATTTTGGAATGGCATGCATGATGTATGTAATTTTTATGATTTCGTGTCATTGTATATTTTAATGTAATATTGGTTTCTAAATGTATTGTACACACGCCAAGATGACCCTTAAATAAATTATTTGTATGTCTGTAATTATGTCATCTTTGGCTGTGTTTAGACATAGGCTTGTAAAACTGTTGAATTGCTTTTCTCCAAGAAAGTATTTGATTCATACATTTTCACCTCTTTGGTCTTTTTTCATGACATGGGCTTTTTCATTATTATTATCATCATTATCATTATTATCACTACTGACATGACAATGGTAAATACTGGTTCGGTATTACACACTGCACCAGATGTACTTACCACTACTGCAGGCAATGATAAAACCCTACCTTGTGTACAGACTGGATGTACTCAATGACAACTCCTTACAGCCAATGAATGTCACTAGGATCAGTTCAGTTTAGTTACCATGGTTACTATACAAAACATTGAGGTAAGTCAGGCGAGTTGACTTTGTCGAGGGAAAACTTGCAGGTCCATAAACCACCCCTCCAGACATTCTGATTGGTTCATTTTCTAAGACACTGATCAACTGTCATAAAAAATGTCTTAAAGATATTTAAAATGTTGAGAATGATCATGATGATAAATAGAAGAATGTCCTGTCCAAACCATGCAAATGTCCAAACAGCATTAGTCTCCAGCATTATTACTGGGGCACATCAGTTGATACAGGTCAGAGAATATAAACTCTTTGTCCCAGATCAGAAACTACACGCTTTTATCTGGAGTGTTTTGGATTATACACATGCCTGGAAATTAGATACCATCTTTATCGTCCAAGTCATAATAAAGTTCAAATTTGCGAAAGATCGACTCAAAAATATCAAGCGACAGTATGTGATCAGACGGTCAGTGACAGGCAGGTGGCGGTCTGTGGTTTGCTTAAGGCATCAAAGAGCCAATACCCAGGTAAAAGCATTCACCATTTCTACAGGAAGCTTAGACCAGAGTGATAAAACAGCACACAATTCAATTGAGAACAGTGTTAGATCAGAGCAGTGAGGAGGGGTGACCAAGATAAGCTCAGGTTAAGACAGGGAGAGAGTAATGTCCGACAAAATCTTAACATGACCATAGCAATATCTTTTAACATAACTATGATTATACATCAACATGAATAATCTCTTAAATTTCAAAATCTATTCAAAACCATAACCTGTAACCATGGTAACACAAAACATTCTTTAAAAATATCTGCACATTAACAACATATACATGTCAGAAAATATCTAAAAATGAACACAATATTCTGTTCCAAAAATTTAATATCTTAATTAAATTTAACCTCCAACTATCATCAACCTTACTCCCTATGTCTATGTTTGTGCCAAGATCACTGGCTCGCACTGTTAAGGATACGAATCTGTCTGAGGTCGGCGGAAGCTATCAGGGATGTTGGCCTCGTATGCAGCCCTTGCTCGGCTGTTGCCAATCTCCTGCATCATCTGAAACAAATAAACACAGTCATGTTCAGGAAGTACAAAACACAAGACCGCCACTTTATTTGGGTTAGTACTTGTTTAGTGATTCCATTGTTCAATGTGGTAGACTTTAAGGTCTGGATTCCTCTTCTGATCATGGTTGTAAGTAATGGCTCCACTGTAAGGTGAGGTGGGGTGAGTGAGTGAGTATGGTTTTACGTCGCTTTTAACAATATTCCATCAATATCATGGCGGGGGACACCAGAAATAGGCTTCACACAGTGTACCCATGTCGGGAATCGAAACCCGGGTCTTCGACGTGACGAGCGAACGCTTTAACCACTAGGCTAAATGTTAAATGTCACATCCACGATTATTGCACTTCCAAAGCTTAGAGCATGCGTGTGTGTCTGCTTGTAGTTGGTCGGAACATGGCTGGTTTTACAGTGCTAGTACCCTGAGATACCATGCCGCAGTTTAACATGAACACCCCACTCAGACACAGTATACCGACTCCATCTTATCTCCTTAAAGTGACAAGCAGGGTAACAACAACCTGTAAGTCTTATGTATGACATGTATGAATGAACTGTGTCACTATAAACACACTTTGCCTCAAACATGAGTTTTCCTTGTTGTTACAAGTCAAGATTGCATTATCATAGAGGTGACTAATGACATCTGATCGCTGTAACAGAATGAAACATGAACAAGAATGGTTTTGGTAGGACCACATATGTGGTGATATATTTCCGAGTAAAGAGCAAGACTACACAGAGAGGGCCATCTTCCCAAGGCAAGTGTGCCCACTAGCCTATATCAAAGCCTAGTTTCTACCCTTGCCACATCAAGGCCTTCTTTTCTTGGCTCTACCCTGCCGCGACCTTGTGTAGAACACGAGTTGTGCCTCTTGTAGTGAAAACGGGATATCCAATCAGGTCGCTGTTCTTATCTCGTATAGCTTTAGAAACATGGGGACTACTATAGGCGACGACCTAGTCGATCAGATAACGAAAACATTCACGATTTTACACCTTACATAAACAGCATAGGCAATCGTTGGGGGTTTAAAAGATGAAAAAGACATGTACGTGTCAACAAAGACAGCCAGCGATAAATCGCTGTCATACGAAGGTGTACCAGTCGTGGATGTTTATTCGAGAAACGTTCTCTGATTTGACTATCGATGTGTGCGAAAGTCCAATCATATTTAGCACAGGAAAGTGGGTTTGATGTGGCAAGGGTAGAAACAAGACTTTGATAAAAAGGCAAGTGGACACTCTTGCCTTGGGAAGATGAGAGGGTTTGAGTAATGATACTGTGCTTTACTGTTGACATATTAGATATCTAGGCTCCGGATTTTTGGGGGGATGGAAATAGGGTCCTGTGTGGGTTAAATGCCCACTCCCAACAAATGGGTGAGTGAGTGAGCATGGTTTTACGCCGCTTTAAGCAATATTCCAGCAATATCACAGTAAGGGACACCAGAAATGGGCTTCACACATTGTACCAATGTCGGGAATCAAACCCGGGTCTTCGGCTTGACGAGCGAACGCTTTAACCACTAGGCTACCCGACCGCCCCTGGAGATATAGAGGATGTCCTACAAGATGCTACAGTATGCATATCACATAATAAATCAGGCCTTGTAAAGTATTTAATGGTGTATTCATCAGTCAAACCACAGCCAAACCCTGCCCCAGAAAGAAGGCACTGCTGCCTAGCGATATATACTCACAGCCACTTGTTCTGGGGTCCATGTGTCCAGGTTGACCGACTTGACCCTTGATATGTGGACCCCAAGGTTTCTGTGTATACCAGCACAGCGGATACACAGGAAGATGCCCAGATTCCATGATGCCCACCTCGGCCCTACAATACCGACCCAAAGATAAATAACATGCTTCCTCATCAACACTTTAGCACTCCAGTGCTTTGAAGGACAATTATCTGAAACTGCTGTAGCATTATCTACACATTTTAACAGAAAATGATTAAACGTAAAAATTCAATGACATTGATAGGTGTGTTTGTGATTTATATTACAATTATTTTTAATTTGATTAACAACTACAGCATAAGCATAAAGTCTGTTGCTACTTTGCACCTTTATCGTGTTTAAAATGTTCATATTGAATTAAAGAAATTTGATTATTGTTAAAATATGTTTCTATCAGCAGTGGATCAAAAAAGGGGGATCGTGGGGTCTGTCGTATGGAATTGGAATCTAGGAACCCCCTTAAATCTTTTAAGTTTATCGTTAGAATTATGACAAGGATCCTCCACTTTCATGCTTAACTTCAAACATTGCATGTCTGCATTATTAGAATATGAAAAAGAACAAACTAGTCTTATCTAAAATACCAATACAGATGTAATTTACCTGTAGTAATAGATGAATTATCATAATGAGTAATAATTTGATATTAATTATAAACCTGGTCCCCACAGAGCATGTAAGCTTGCTTGTGGAGGCGCAGGTGCAGGTCATGGATAAACATTATATGGGCTTAATACAATTAAATGGAATAATTTTCTGTTAAATTGAGTAAGGTAACATTGTCTCAGAAGGAAATTCCGCTTACACGTGGACTATTTATAACCAGCATAAGGTAGACCTATGAAAAGGGGGTGTAGTATGATTCATAATTATGACAGGTGTTTATTTCGGTATAAATACTTGTTTCATCCACTACTTAGAAAACAGTACAAAATCAACCCCCAACTCGTTTCCACTGAAAGAAACAAATGACTTTCACCACATATCATATGCTACTTCTCGTGACCTGCTAGTATTAAAACAAATGACAGGCTTTTTCCTGGCCACGACGTCAAATTAGAGCTATTGACACAACATGTCTATTTCCGCGTGTGGAATAACCGATTGTAAGTCTGTCTTACCCTTCGCGTCACAATCAACGCAGTATTTGTTATCATCGTCTTTTAGAAGACTAGATAAAATGGCTTGGAATTTATCCTGTAAAAGCTTCGTTCGTTCTTTTTCTGCTTTTGAAGACATTGTCAAATGATTCTCTGGTTGTGGGTAGGACCGATCAAGGGACGTAACTCAAGAACATTATCCGGTTTGCGCAACAATATAAACTATAACAGAAAATCAAAGAAAATTAGTATTTATTCAATATGTTAACTTTTGTTTAATGCTCATACTGATATTTTCGAGCGCCATTATACTTATGTCAAAAATGTGTGGCAAATTTCAATCAGTCAGTGTTTGACATTACAGTCTACTTGACGATGCGTAATGACATGTTTATGCCTGAGTTGTGCGGCTTCTACGTCAGAACTAAGGGAGGCTACTCTAAAATAACAGGTGTTCAGCCTTATATTTTCTGTTTGTTTGTTGTTTTTCGCCACAATCTTACGGTTGAACATGGCCGACAGAAGCATTCTATCACAGTGGCTTTTTATTGTTTTCTCAAAGCAAAGTATGTTCCTTTGAATTAATATTTCCGATAAATATAAACGACCCTGCGTCAAAAAATTATACAATCGTTGTCACATGGTCCCATATGGGCAGCTGATGGGTGCGGTATTGAATAGTTATTTACAAGAGATTTCAAACTTATACCGATATACCGAAGACTCAAATTCTTTTTGTATTGAGTTTTCATCGAAGGTAGAAACAAGTAAACCAACTCTCACATACAAAATAATAAAATAAACAACGTATCATTCTTATTATCCGTTTCATTTTTCCAGATCTATACCACCCCTTCGTGCTTAATAAATGGATGTTCCCACAGGAACATGTCACTAATACAAACTTACAGACGAGGCCAAAGGTCCAGTATGGAATATGCGTTAATGGTACTAGCTGATTCCAGTTCACTCTCAGATCCAACATCAACTAACCATGCAAATCCATACATATCCAATTCCCACATGATATACTAGTATGACATGCAGACATTTGTCATGTTCTATTGTTTTGGGCGACTTTTCTTAGCACAAGAGTCGAATACAGTTAGTTATATCTTTTGCCTTAAACAGGTACGAGAAGCACCCGTACAATATCAAAACCTTAAATTATGGATACCTATGTGTTTATAATTTTGAAGTAATTTAGCAATGGACTGGCGACAATGTAGTAAAACAATTAGTGCACCATTTCATCAACTTTGTTCTTACATCCCCAAAGTGAGGGGTAATTTCAGTTTGACAAAAATTTAAATTGCAGTCTCATTAAAATAGGACTATACCTCTCTGTGAGAAGATCTGAGGACACCTCCCAAAAGAGGTGTTGTCAGGTGAAATGAACTTTCTGATAGGCCATTCAGCATCAAGGTTTCTAAGTTCACAGTACGAGTGAGCTGCATATCTAGTTTAGACCTGCATATTTAGTATCTGTTTTCTGAAAATGAAGCTAATCGGCTTGTTCCGAATGTAAACGATAGATAAATGCCGCACCATTATATAGTTGTGGATATATCATTCACCCTGTCTTGGCGCTATGTCTTAGGGAGTAACTGCGGGTGGTTTTCTTTGGGAGTTTTGCTTTTCGAAAATCGAAATTTTAGATACGAGATGATGAAGAAAGTAACCCGAATCGTTTAAGAAATGTGACTATCTGATTGGCCCCCAAACCCAAGCTTCCTTCCGTTAGATTGGGCGGTCAAAGCTCGCTAAGGTTTGACCAGACGTGACCTTCCATGGAGGTGACCTCATGGAACAGACGCAGTGAAGCATCGTTTCGGTGAAAAAGGCACGAATCTCGACAATTTGCCAGCTATATGACAACGGTCCGTAAATAATCGAGGCTGGACCAGACAATCAGTGATTGGCATCATGAGCATCGATCCACGCTTGGTACCATTAACCAAGGCTATGAACTAGGGGTGGGACGAGTCCACATTTACTACCCGACCCCCTACTACCTGACCCTACCCGGTACCCACTGCAGGTCTCAAGGGTTGGGAACAAAATGTCTGAATTGTTTTACCGCAGCCCTGGCCAAAACCATAATTTAGATACATGTATCATACGATCAGATCATGCGTACACCGAAGTTGACTGAAGCGTTATCTTTACTCAAACATATGCAAGTCAAAAGGAATTTGTGTATCGTTAGAAAAGAAATGCGAACATTAGCGACGTGTAGTGTAACCACTGAGCTTTTGTGAGTTTTTGACATTAAACAATATATCACATGTCTACCCACGAGGACCCACCCAACCCGAGTACCTGAGTTACCGGTCCAAGCCCTACTATGAACCATGTGAAATGGCATGTCATCCATATTCTGCATACCCAACTGAAAGGCTTGCAATCTCTTCTTTGTCTCACTCTGTCCTTCCCTGTCTTCCATTTCAAAACCAAACGCATGTACGATCTTTTAAAGTTATATAGTTAACTTCAAGAGCAAGAATAGTATCAGTCTGCTTTGTGACCAGCTGTTTAGGTGACAGTTCTCTGTTCCCTTTCTGTAGGGGCGGTCGGGTAGCCTAGTGGTTAAAGCGTTCGCTCGTCACGCCGAAGACCTGGGTTCGATTCCCGACATGGGTACAATGTGTGAAGCCCATTTCTGGTGTCCCCCGCCGTGATATTGCTGGAATATTGCTAAAAGCGGCGTAAAACCATACTCATTCACTCACTCACTCACTCCCTTTCTGTATATTACTTTCACATTGTTTTGAGGGACAGTATTTTTTTTCTGACTTGCTAGAGGTTCACTCATTGTCATCATGGTCAAAGTGTCTATTTGACTGGACAATGCTGTGAGTGATTCACTGACACTCACATCTGCGTAATCATCCTTTCCCCCGTGTGTTCGGTCCTCGTATACTGATCTCGGGTAAGGTTCAATGTCGCCGCCATATTGGATTAAATGTAGACAATGTCCCAATACCTTTGACTCCCGCTTCGCACTACATTGCCAACAAAACAAACATAATTGTCATGGAAGGTGGCTTGTAAAATGTGTAAGACTTTAATAGTAACTCCCCACACATTAGCCCATCCAAAGAATCATTAGTGTCACAGACCGCCTCCGTAGACTAGTGGTAGAGCGTCCGCCCGGAAGGTCCGGGGTTCGATCCTCGGCCGCGTCATACCAAAAGACGTTAAAAGATGGTACTTGTTGTTACCCTGTCTGGCGCTCGGCATTAAGGGGCTAAAACAAGGACTGGTCGGCTCGGAGTCAATATACTGTGTCTAAGTGGGGTATTCATGTTAAACTGCGGCATGGTACATCAGTGTCACATACAAATTAATCAACATGTAACTGAATTCCACGTGACTTGTAATTATGTTCACCATTAATTAATTATAAATTAATTACATTTATTGAATTAAGCATTTATCTAGCGCTTCTTATCCAGCTATACTCTTTGCTCAAGAGTGCTCAGTCGTATGCTGTTTTGAAGAGGATGTTCTTGAGTTTTGATCTGAAGGTGTTGACATCTTCAGATCCCCTGACATCAATGGGCAGTGCATTCCATAGAGTTGCACCTGCTTTTCGGAAGGTTCTGTCGCCATATGTTGTTCTGCTGGTTGGTGGAACAGCAAGCTCTAGTTGGCTTCCAGATCTCAGTGTTCGTCCAGGTTCATGGTTTACAGGTTAAAATGATCTGCTGCATGGCACACCCTCATTGCCAACGGAATCACCCCATTGCCAATGGATTGACCCTGAAGTGTGAATACCACCCTAGCTGAAGATGAGTCAGCATTGTAGGACACAAGGGACTCCTATATAGAGACTGCTCATTTGTGTGACCGATAATGGTGTGGCCCTGACACAGTGGTTAGTGTGTTTTACCCGATTGTGTGTGTTCTGAAATAGATTGATAAGCTGTTGGTCTGATGTGGAACGTATACAGTTCTAATGGGTTCGCGGTAGACTTTGTTATATGCATCGAGACGTCGGCTATCAATAGATCGATGCAAGGGTTTGTGTGAAAAGGCATGTTAATGTTGAGGGATCAAATGGTATTAGAAACCTGGTTTTATGGAATTTCTTTTAACCAATCAGAATCATGACCTATAAGTTTTCAGTGTCATGGCAGAAAAAAACATTTACTACATTGGGTTTTGGGGACACCCTAGGAACGCAAGTCTGTACTGCAATTTGTGTTGCTTTAGATGACTCGACCACCCGCGCACCTGTCTAGAAAGAGAAAATATAAGGATAAGTCCCCCAACATGGCACCAGGTGTCCCGGAATAAGCGAATGACCTTGTCATAGAATTCATTGTGATAGGCAACTCACCGTTATCACAAGTGCACGTATTAATAAAGTCCATGCATAGCACCTGATGAAGTTTTCAATGTTTTTTTTCAAAGTATATATTGAATGTTTATTCCTTTCTTAAAAACTCTAAAAAAAATAAATTTTATAATTGTCCATCACAGCAAATTTATTTGGAGTCCGTCAAACAAATCTTGGATACGTCTGCTGGTTAAGTTTCAATCTTGCAGTTAATGATTGGCGCAGCTACCCATATGCGATATCTCAGCTTCATACAAGGTATTTAATACTATGTCTAGACCTCGGCAGGAAGTCTACACCACTGCGTGGATCATGGTCTCCATGCAAGTATTCCATGCTGGGAGACATTTGTTGTAAATAATGGAATCTGTATGAAAATCTCAGTTTCTGAGACAAATAGGTTGTACATTCAGAGCGGCCCATATGCAAACAGAATGATACTAGAGTTTAAACTCGAATTCAATTGTTGATCAAGAGCTTATTTCCGAGTGGGACTACGAGGGAAGTGTGTTGAGCAATACGAGGTTCCGGCACATGTGCATTGTGATGCCCCCACAGTAATCGGAGCAGATTATCACATGCCAATGTCTAATAAACATAGTGCACTGATTCAGTGATTTTGAGTTTATTCTTTTCTTCAGAACCAGACATTTTACTACGTCGGGTATGTCACGGAAAGTTTGACGACTGTTTGAGTCTTTCGCCAAACAGTTGGCATTTTTTTCATGAAAGGCCTCTGCTCTGCAAATGTCTGTCATGTATACTTGTGTATCCAAGAAAAGTGATTAAACGTCCTGAACTAGACTGTCCACAGATTTGTATTTATGAGTAGCGATCCACCCCGTCCGGGTACGATGACACGCAGTCAACGCGCCTGACCAACAGATCCACAAAGCTGCCTCTTAGGATTTTGGGGTGTATCTCACGCGACTGCAATGTGGATCACGTCACATATGTGGATCACGTCACCTCACGTCACATACAGACACTGGAACCTTCTTACAGATTCTGAGTGAATTGGAAGTATCTTTGCATCGGGGTGGCTGCAGTTGCCCCTTCAGCAGATACGGATGGATGATAATCAGGAGGAAGGCCGCCATTCGGGTACTTTGAACCTTTGAACTATGGATGTCATCTGGAGACTAGTGACATTTTTATTCAGAAATAGCCACCTGAAATCTTCGTTTTAACTCGCAGCTCCATATCCAAAATGGCTATTGTTTTGGGGTGCATGGTCGTGCTACAGTATCGCGATTAATAACTTCAGCTGAAAACGGTTGTCTTTTCCTATTGTCAGAGGGTTGTTCTTACACATTGTATTCGTATATGCGAGCTGATTTTGTCAGTAATTTCGTTCAATTAAGGATTGACTGTATTTCTTTCGGTTCATATAGGCAAGGTTTATTTATGCTTCTAAATACACACATCAACTTTGATGACTACCGTCTCCAGGTGGTGTCAGTTTGTCACGGGTGGCACTGGCGAGGCAGGATGCGCTCACCTTTTCGCCTGGTTACCTGTACTATGTCAGCACATGTGGCGGATGTGGGGGCCGGACCGGAACACGGATGAGTCAGCCCGTCCCTGTATCCTTAATACTGAGTGTTGGGAAGTGACCTTCCTTGGTGTGTGTGGCTATTGTTGTCATACAGGCGGAGCGGTCGGGTAGCCTAGTGGTTAAAGCGTTCGCTCGTCACGCCGAAGACCCGGGTTCGAATCCCGACACGGGTACAATGTGTGACGCCCATTTCTGGTGTCCCCCGCCGTGATATTGCTGGAATATTGCTAAAAGCGGCGTAAAACCAAACTCACTCACTCACTCAATGACATACAGGCAGTGAGGCTGTTTCAATTTGTCATCTTATCTTCATTGTCTGGTGTACCTAGGCAAATCTACGAATTTGTGTCTTAGAATTCCTTGAGTCCTGTCTACATTGTGTCTTATAGGCAGCTAGGTGTTGACAACCTTTGTTGTGTCCATATTGCCTGGCATGTCATGACAAGTCAATACGCATTATCTACACCACCTTGTACATAGTGGCATACCTTAATTACCTTCATGAGTCATGTCTATAATTGCCAAGCACATCGAGGAACGATGTTGATTATCAGTCTTGATTATCAGTCTTGTTTTTCTGATAATCAAGCCAATATTGGTATTATCAGTGAGTGAGTGCCTTACTCACTACTATTAAAGCAAAGCCAAAGGAAGACTCGGACCAAAAGGAAACACTAGCAAGTTCGATTCGAGTTATTCTTAGTCTGATTCCTCAGATTATGACGTCAGAAGTAATACCAACGCTTGACTGGTAACCAGAGTCCCTCTTTAAACTCATCTCTCTTGCATGCATGTCAATCAAACGTTACTTTTGCCCCTTCGGCAGATTTGACCAAAGACTAGAGGACACAGGTAATTTAGGGGTATCCTTTATTATTAGAATACCTAAACAACACAACTGACAATGACCCACAGTTGTTGAATGATGCATTACTGTCAGTGTCTCCGAAGACAGTAAAAGTTGAAGGTGAAACCTTCACATTCCACATTAGGCCGGGTCTCAACCAGCTGCAAATTTGGCATTTCAGAGCCTGAAAATGAACAACAAAAGTTTATTTCACATATACTCCACACCAACGTTTAAACAGCTGAAAATACAGAGATCCAGAGATCACATGTGTGATCAACAAGCCATCTTTCTCCAAACCTAATATCTTAAAGGTAGGTCATTTCAGTAAAGGATCTTATGAACGAAAGTTTGCATTGAGTCCGTATTCTTCTGTATCGGTTATTAAAAGAAAAGAAGTAAAGTTTAAACTTTGTTATGTCAATGTCTCGAAGGTATGTTCAATACGTAAAGAGATGTTGTTTTGTTATAAAAGTGACGAAATTATTTCAATATTGATAAAGAAGTCTGCACTGATTTAGATTCGCCTGTACGATTTCGACTATATTACTGGAACTGACAATGTCAAGGTGAATGAAACCTTCTTGTTACCACGAGATACCATTTAGGAGATAAACACGACCTGTTTTTATATTTGCTGGTTTTATTGAGCATTCGATGCTCAGACGTTACATTTGGAACAGACGGCGTTAAACCGAAAATTTCAAATAATAAAATTCAGCCATCTCCATTGGACCATAGGCCGGTCACATGACCGCGCAACAGGCACTTATTAGCGTATTGACGAAGCTTTTCGACGTGCATACGTTTTTCACGAGCTTCTTGAACTAACGTTAACATCGACGGACTACAAACACGGGTCCACTTTGGTTGTCACGTAAATTCAGTCGCGTGTGCAATATGCCTCAAGTGTGTTGTTTACCCTCATCTCCTACTTATCCGGGAAGATCCGGGGTAGAATAGGTCTTCTGCAACTCATGGTTGTCGTTAAAGGCGACTATGCTTGTCGTAAGAGGCGACTAACGGGATCGGGTGGTCAGGCTCGCTGACTTGGTTGATTCATGTCATCGTATCCCAATTGCGTGGCTCGATGTTCATGATGCCAATCACTGGATTGTCTGGGCCAGACTCGATTATTTACAGACCGCCGTCATATAGCTGGAATATTGCTGAGTACAAACAGACACTGACAGAAATGCGTATTGAAGCACTCACCAAAGACACCCTTGATCTCGTCCGGCTCCATGGAATAGGGCGGCCCTGGAACACAAGACAAGTCACTATTATATACCAACAACACTAACTTCATCACAAATTTGTCAGGTCAGAAATGTTTTGTTTCAGTAAAACATTATTTGTATGCTTAGGTTTTGATAGATTACGCGGCAATGAAAACTTTATCGTTATCCAATTTCCTGGTCATTGTAAAAATCCCCCTTGTCTCTGGAGGCTCTAGCGAGCAAAATGCCTAACCTTTAAATTTCCTTTTGTCGTAATCCATTGTGTCAAATAGGAAAACACCCCTCGTATTTTCGTGATATGTTTTGATAGATTTCACGTGCAGAGTTGCGTCCCTTGGGCACGCCAGAAACCTATGATTGTGGGTTCGAATCCCGGTTCGCCCCGATTATGTTTCTAGGTTTGTCAGCACCATACCCGTGCTCGTGGGTTTCACCGAAGTGGTAAACGTCTGAGACCTGCATCACTTTGGGCTTTCCTCCCACATTAAGCTGACACGCCGTGATATAACTGGAATACTGTTAAAAGCGGCGTTAAACCAAACTAACTCACTCACTGATAGATTTCACGACAATGTACATTTTCTGATTACCCAGTTTTCTGGTAATTATGAAAATCACTCTTGTCTCTGAAGACTATAGCGAGGTAAATGTCTTACCTTTGAATTTCCTCCTGTCGTAGTCCATTGTCTCAAAGAAGAAAACACACGTTGGGGATAGCAAAGTTCGCCATACAGACAGATATCTGGAAAAAAAGTGAAGTGAAAGAAAACTTTGTTAAATTCTTTTTTTCCAGGAATTTGTTTTAATACAATTGATATAATGTGTGATTAGACGACAATTCAAGTATGATTTCAGAAAGACATTCAGTGAGTACTGTGTGCATGTCGTGACCTTTGACCTAACCATTCTGTTCATCTCAGACTCGTATTACTGCAGATTGTAGCAGAAAAGTGTTGGCCCGTAATCCAGTGCGGACGATGAATGCTTAACGGAAGTAAGTGAGCGAGTCAGTCAGTACGGTTTTACTCCGCTTTTAGCAATATTCCAGCAATATCAAGGCGGGGGACACCAGAAATGAGCTACACACATTGTACCCATGTCGGGAATCGAACCCGGGTCTTCTGCGTGACGAGCGAACGCTTTAACCACTAGGCTACCCGACCGCCCCTTAACGGGAGTAAAAGAAAGAAACAAATAAACATCCTAACAGACAAAATGCAAAACAAATTAAATATTGTTCCAAATTGTTATAAAATAGAGAATAATATATTATGATTATACATTCATATTGTAAACAGGGACTACTTCAAGTCTAGGATTTACCCTGTGTTTAGCAGTTCCACGTCGGGGAACATCAGTATTGGGATTCAAACATTGTTTAGGTGGTACATTGAACCGGATGGACTTACTTGTCCCAGTCACGTTTGTCAAGGGAGACAAATCCCGCGGCATCCCAGATGACGTCAAAAACGCCTTCAAGTTCCCTGATTGGATAAAATGATGATGTTACTGACATTAACTTCGATAACAATGATAATAAAGCATTATTCGAGGACAAGTAATTACAGTAATATCATCAAGAGTGAATTCACGAATACAAACCTACAACATACTATGACTTAAACGACAGAGTAACCTATTTAGAGCACATGACACTTTCAACCCCCTGGGGAGAATACTTACTGAGAAAAAGTGAAGAAGTTTCCACAGTAATACTTCAACTGCCCAGTCTTGCTCTGCATGACAAGTATATTCAGAAAATGCCAACACCAATACAACGAATATTACACAATCATTCAAACACAAGATAAGTCAATATTTATTTGTCATATGTGTGGCTTAACGTCGCACTCAGCAATATTCCAACTATATGACTGGGGCCTGTAAATAATCAGCAATCCTGTGATTGATATTATGAGCAACGAGAGCACGATGACACGTCACGTGACCATCCAATCCATAAAATCGTCTCTAACGAGTGCCATAGGTTGCTCGGGGCCCGGGGACTATTCTGACCCGGAATCCCTAGAGGTTCTACTACACCAAATCAGAACCAGTTTGGACAGTAGGGAGCCTTCTGTGCAGATCGAGAGATATCTGCAGGCTGTGATTGGAGGATATTCTGTAACATTTTTATGTCTTTCAAATGTACATCCATCCAGTTATTAAAACTGACCATGTTTTCTATATTTAGTTCTGTCTTTTTCAACATGATGACTTATGCTGAATGTGACCACAGCTATTTTCAAGTAGGTGACATTTGGTGCGAAACTGGGGGTGATGTGTTTAGCTTCCGGTACTCGGAAAAGGAGCTGGCTAATCTAGTCATTTTTTTATTTTTTTATTGCTGCTCTAAGGCCAAACTGTGCACACACGTACAGGTAATAGCTGTTGAATGCTTAGTTATTTAAAAAAAATATATAACGTTACCATAGAAGTCTATGGGAAAACATTTGGTTGTGTGTAACCTGTACAATCATGTAGTCAACAACCCACATGTGAACGCTTGGTTTTGTCTCCAGTCACAAGATGTATTCAGTATCAGTATCTTGAACCTTGTCAATGACAATAGCTTGAAATAGTGCCAGCAACTCTTACAGTGAACACCTTTCCATTGATGGCCGGGACGTCCTCTGTTGTGTACTCCAGCCTCTGTTCAGAGAAGAAGTCCACGGCTGCTTTCTCTGCGATGTCCACCCCCACCACGTAGTGACCTTTGTCCGATAACCTGACATGCATTGTGTGAAGGTCAGTTTGTGTGACTGGACTGTCCAGAACATAATCAAGACATCTCGCCAACAGTTTACGAGATGGATATTAAACACTTATTTTATTAAATTCAACCACCCTACTGTTTGTGTCGAGAAAACAAACTTAACCTTAGGATTGCAGGGGCGGTCGGGTAGCCTAGTGGTTAAAGCGTTCGCTCGTCACGCCGAAGATCCGGGTTCGATTCCCGACATGGGTACAATGTGTGAAGCCCATTTCTGGTGTCCCCCGCCGTGATATTGCTGGAATATTGCTAAAAGCGGCGTAAAACCATACTCACTCACTCACTAAGGATTGCAAAAGAGGCCGTATTGTCACAGAGTCATCTCAGATGACCATGTTGACTTTATAGTTGTAGTGAGTGAGTGAGTGAGTTGGGTTTAACGCCGCTTTCAACAGTATTCCAGTTATATCACGGCGTGTCAGCTTAATGTGGGAGGAAAGCCCGAAGTGATGCAGGTCTCAGGCGTTTACCATTTCGGTGAAACCCACGGGTATGGTGCTGACAAACTTAGAAACAGAATCGGGGCGAACCGGGATTCGAACCCACAATCATAGGTTTCTGGCGTGCCCAAGGGACGCAACTCTGCACAGCGAATCGCGGCGCCTTAGACGACTTGGCCACCCGTGCCCCCTTTATAGCTGTAGGTGAGCTGTAGAGCACGCTGGCACGGATGTCTGGCTGTCCTACACTACATGGAGCAGGGTAGGTTGGAGAATGACAGAAATGGAATGGCCCACCTAGCCAGCAATGACACTTTAGTACACAATACTCACCATCTCAGGTCCTCAGCTTTTCCACATAAAGTGACGAGTACTTTGAGATTACCCCTGCTGCCGGTCAACTGGTCAAAATGCTTTTCAAGGGTCCTGCAAAATTGCTTTTCCATTACATTCCTTAATCGAACAATTTACTTCATCATTTACAAACACAAGCTGATAAATGTATGAAATACATACATACATACATACATACATACATACATACATACATACATACAAACATACATACAAACATACATACATACATACATACATGCATGCATACATACATATGCTCGAATGAATGAAACTAAACAATATAGTTTAAAAAATTGAAATTAGGGATGAATCCAATCTCATTAAAATCAGATCTTAGTTCTCGCTACCGCTAAAGATCCGATTTTAATGAGATTGGGGATGAATCGTGACAATGTCTCACGGGTTTAGTTCAGCAGGGTAGTCCATCTCCCCCTCGTTCCAGAAATCGACAACCTGTTTCAGACGTTCATCCGGGTCATCAGGGACCACGTGGAAAGGTTGTGGCTCCCCCTCCGCCATGACTGTAGCTCAGCACTAGAGTGCAACAAAAAACATATTTACTAGATACTTTCTTTCTGGATCTAATTAAGTCATTTTAACAACATGTTTAAATTGTTGGTTTTGAAATACAGATAACAGTGAGAGTTAGCTGCTATTTAAAACAACATTTAATAAAAACATAATTTAATATTGAAGGAACATGATCCACACCGCCGGGGTAAGATACTACAACAATGCAGCCAGCATGGACGTGTTCATATATCTAGGAAATACTATCCACGAACAATAGACTATGCAGGCCACTTGCTCCAAAATTAAATTGGGGGCACGGGTGGCCCAGTCGTCTAAGGCGCCGCGATTCGCTGTGCAGAGTTGCGTCCCCTGGGCACGCCAGAAACCTATGATTGTGGGTTGGAATCCCGGTTCGCCCCGATTATGTTTCTAGGTTTGTCAGCACCATACCCGTGCTCGTGGGTTTCACCAAAGTGGTAAACGTCTGAGACCCACATTAAGCTGACACGCCGCGATATAACTGGAATACTGTTAAAAGCGGCGTTAAACTAAACTCACTCACACTCAAAATTAAATTGTCACGAAAAGGTCTGCAGGGGATCATCATTTCCTAAATATATATAAGCCACCGTAAGGTAAAATAGAAAAGAATCCACAATATAAAACGTTCGAAAAACAAATATATTTATCACTGCGGTTAACTTCAGCTTTTGGGGTCGTTGTCGACACAGGCGCAACATACATGTGACTCAGGTACGTTTATGGGTGTACATGTACAAGCAGGCAGTATATGCACGACACTGTCATTTCCCAATGCACGAAACGGGTCCACTTTGGCTGTCACGTAAACTCTGTCGTGTGTGCAATATGCCTCAAGTGTGTTAACCGTCATCTCCTACTCATCCGGGAAGATCCGGGAAGAATAGGTCTTCAGCAACCCATGCTTGTCGTAAAAACCCATGCTTGCCGTAAGAGGCGACTAACGGGATCGGGTGGTCAGGCTCGTTGATTTGGTTGATGCATGTCATCGTATCCCAATGGCGAAGATCGATGCTCATGATGTCAATCACTGGACTGTCTGGCCCAGACTCGATTATTTACAGACCGTAGTTATGTAGCTGGAATATTGCTTAACTAAAAATCATCTCCTTCTATTTTGACTATACAGTCAACACTGCAACACCTGAATGTGTTTGTGCCCACAGTACCTGTACCGACAACGACCCTTATAGATCAGACTCAAGGTATTTATGACACTCCCTGTACCCACCTCCCCACCTCCCAGTCCCATACCCTCACTGTATATTATCCTACATGGTCTGACCCTTATGAGCAGAGAACGCCTGTTGGGTCACACTGCTCTGATCAAGCGAGACACGGCACGAATACCTTAAGACTCCCTCCACACGTAGCCTCCCTCCACACGTACAGTGTACTCGTTATGCTGCTTGTAGTGTGAGCCTATATTCCTCTCATCGACCAGTGCACGCTGTTCAAACAACCAAAAGCACCTGCGGATTGAAATGTTCATAGAATAGATGAACTAATCGTTCAATACTCGACATATTGCTCAATGTGTTGATCAATGTAAGGGAGGCAACCATATGATTTTAAATTTACTCCAAAATGTATTAAAAATTATCTCCAGGGGTCTTTTCAAAATTACCTAAATTATGGCGCCAAAACGTCTTAAACCACACAACCCCTGACCCGAAATTATGACGCCAGAATATCTTGAATCACACAGCCCCTGACCCGAAAGTATGACGCCAGAACATTTTGAAATACACATCCCCTGAGCCCAGATAATGCTGCTAGAACATCATGAACCGGATGAATAACTGTATCACTCAAAATGTTTAAAGATCAAATTGTAACAAATCCTAGCCAAACAGAAATTATTTCACTTTAATGCTTTTGATACGACCCCTCTTTGTCAACACTCAACGGGTTGTTCGCACAGCCAGCGTCGTTGTGCGAATGGAGCAAGGCGCACGAGCTGACAGGTAAGTAAACCTCTTTGAGACGTTTTAGTGATGTCTGCAGAATTAGGACTGTACGTTATACAAAGAAAGATCACACTGATAGCTGATTAGGCGAATATAGCGCTACATACATGTACACTTCCTCATACACAATACTGTACCTCGACAGCCCAGCCCGGAAACGTTCGGCAGTAGTCGTGAATATCCGTGTGTGATGTGAGCCTGTTATTGACGTCGATGTCTGTACCGTCCCCGCCTATATGTACCAACTGCTGCAGGGCTCACGAGTCGCCTGTATATTCTGTTCACATTCTGTTGACATAAGCCGTCAGTGTACACACACTCTAGTATTCTGTGACATGTGATCCTGCGTGTACATGCACATGCGAGTGTAGCATGATATTCCATAAACCTGCAAATAATGGAACGGCTCATTTTATAGTCACGAGGGTCAAGGATTTAACTAAAAATACATTTGTTTTTCTATAGGTCTGCCCAGTGAATCCTCGGACTTTTCTTTAAAACATTTTATTTTGTCTCTGTCAAACCTTCCCCTCCCCCCAAAAAAACCTATCCCCCACCCCAATCCGCACCCACGTAAATCGGCGAAGTCACCCATGCGTCTATTTCAGCAATAAATCTGAACGATGTCAGGAGAGGATCACACATCCGAGCAGCGTGGCGTGTCTGGCACTCCAGAGGGAAGGATCAATGATTGGATGAAAGGCTGGGACAAGGGCCTCTGGGACTTCACCTACACGGAGCCCGGCCAGTAGGTATACATAGGGAAGAGTAGGTCGGACACTGGGACTTCACCTTCAGGGAGCCCTTACAGTAGGCATACATAGGGTAGAGTAGGTCGGGCACTAGGACTGCACCTACACGGAGCCCGGCCAGTAGGTATACATAGGGTAGAGTAGGTCGGGTACTGGGACTTCACCTACACGGAGCCCTTACAGTAGGCATACATAGGGTAGAGTAGGTCGGGCACTAGGACTGCACCTACACGGAGCCCGGCCAGTAGGTATACATAGGGTAGAGTAGGTCGGGTACTGGGACTTCACCTACACGGAACCCTTACAGTAGGCATACATAGGGTAGAGTAGGTCGGGCACTAGGACTGCACCTACACGGAGCCCGGCCAGTAGGTATACATAGGGTAGAGTAGGTCGGGTACTGGGACTTCACCTACAGGTAGCCAGTAGGTATATATAGGGTAGAGTAGGTCGGGCACTGGGACTGCACCTACACGGAGCCCGGCCAGTAGGTATACATAGGGTAGAGTAGGTCGGGTACTGGGACTTCACCTACAGGTAGCCAGTAGGTATATATAGGGTAGAGTAGGTCGGGCACTGGGACTTCACCTACACGGAGCCCGGCCAGTAGGTATATATATGGTAGAGTAGGTCAGGCACTGGGATTTCACCTACACGGAGCCCGGCCAGTAGGTATACATAGGGAAGAGTAGGTCAGGCACTAGGACTTCACCTACACGGAGCCCGGCCAGTAGGTATACATAGGGAAGAGTAGGTCGGGCACTGGGACTTCACCTACACGGAGCCCGGCCAGTAGGTACACATAGGGAAGAGTAGGTCAGGCACTAGGACTTCACCTACACGGAGCCCGGCCAGTAGGTACACATAGGGAAGAGTAGGTCAGGCACTAGGACTTCACCTACACGGAGCCCGGCCAGTAGGTACACATAGGGAAGAGTAGGTCAGGCACTAGGACTTCATCTACACGGAGCCCGGCCAGTAGGTACACATAGGGAAGAGTAGGTTGGGCACCTTGGCTTCACCTGCATTGGGTGTGGGTTGGTGTGGGTTTCATGAATCGATTAATATAAGATACTCACCCTTTGTTTTCTTCGTTTATACGAAGATTACAAGTCGCATGTTTATGACATAATGCAAAGTAATCTCACTTACAGAAGACAGTATTTCCATACATTGCTACGACTGAACGTGTGTACATGCAACTTTATTATGGACTGCGATTCACCAGAGAGCGTTTGCTTCTCTGAAAATATTTTTTCAATACTGTTTAAAAGCTAATATGATTACTTTGCACTTAACATATCCTTGAGCTATTACTCAGTTCATACCAACTGAAGACATGAGTCATTATATAATGTATGTACGGGATTATTTACAACAATATTTGCTAACTCAAGTTTCTGACAATGTCCTTTCAGGAATCTGGTGAAATACTTTGAGAAAGTTACCGAGGGACGAAAAGGTCTGAAAATCCTCGTCCCCCTCTGTGCCACGACCTATGACCTCATCTGGTGAGTGAGTCTGTCAAATCAGCACATGAGATGCACCCACGCGTCTATCAATATAGGCTTCATAGGATTCCATTGGCAATTACGTTATGCCAGCAGGCTCAGTCCCATTCAATCTACAGGTTCATGTTGAACCACATCAAAGATCGGGGTTGTCATCTTGTTTCGTGGAACCTGTCAGAGGCACGGAGACCGTCAAAAACAATATCGGCAGCCTTTGGCAGTAGGGGCGAGAGACCGTTGTAGGTCATGTTCTGCGACATCCCAGTTCAGGATGGAAAGGCGTTTCTTTTGGGTGAGTGAGTTGGGTTTAACGCCGCTTTTAACAGTATTCCAGTTATATAACGGCGTGTCAGCTTAATGTTGAGGGGAAAGCCCAAAGTGATACAGGTCTCAGACGTTAACCACTTTGGTGAAACCCACGAGCACTGATTATGTGCTGACAACCCTTGAAACATAATCGGGGCGAACCGGGATTCGAACCCACAAACATAGGTCTCAGGCGTACCCAAGGGACGCAAATCTGCACAGCGAATCGCGACACCTAAGACGACAGGGCCACCCGTGTCCCCCGTTTCTTTTGAATTTGTATTATTAAGTATGTTCATTGCTTACTATCGTATTAGACTAACCGCAATAATTATATAGACTCTCTGATATCAATGACGTTTCCGTTTTTGTGTTTAGGTTCTGTGAGCAAGGTCACTCCGTGGTTGGCGCTGATCTGGCCGAGAGCGCCGCACAGCGGATCTTCAAACAGTACAAGCAGGAACCAATCATTGAAGACGTCCCCAGTATCGCCGGGAAACTTTACAAGGTAATGACACCAGTCAGGAGAAAGGTATGATACTCTTTGTTCACACAGAGGGTCTATATATCCTCATTGACCTACACAGAGTCCCTGGTCTATGACACACACGCGCCGAGGTATGTAACGAGGTGTGTAACATTCATTACACACATGCTCCCAAACAAGGCATTGCTTGTATTATGGTCGGCGTGACCCAACCTGACGTGTGTGTAAGGCCTTGCTTATATTTGAGGTCAATACTATCGAACGTACTCGTACAAGCAATGCTATACTTGTATTTGAGGTTGACACAATCCAACGCGAACGTGTTTGCAAGGATACCTTGTATCAACACATCACAACGTGTTTGCAAGGCATTGATTGTATTTGAGATCCACAACACGCTCCAACTTGCACGCGTTGACATGGTCATGCCTGTATTGCAGGTAAAAGCGAACCAACCTGCAGGTGTTTGTAAGGCCTTGCTTGTATTTAAGGTCAGCACAAACCAACCTCCACGTGTTTTTAAGGCCTTGCTAGCATTTGAGGTTAACACGAACCAACCTGCACGTATTTGTAAGGCCCTGTTTGTATTTAAGGTCAGCACGATCCAACCTGCACGTGTTTGTAAGGCCTTGCTAGCATTTGAGGTCAACACGAACACATCTGCACGTATTTGTAAGGCCTTGGTTGTATTTGAGGTCAGCACAAACCAACCTGCTCGTGTTTGTAAGGCATTGCTTGTATTTGAGATCAACACGAACAAATCTGCACGTATTTGTAAGGCATTGCTTGTATTTGAGATCAACACGAACAAATCTGCACGTATTTGTAAGGCCTTGTTTGTATTTGAGGTCAGCACATACCAACATGCATGTGTTTGTAAGGCCTTGTTTGTTTTTGAGGTCAGCACGAACCAACCTGCACGTCCTTATAAGGTCATACTTGTATTTGAGATCAAGACGAGCCAACCTGAACGTATTTGCAAGGTTTTCTATGCACCTCTTCAGTTCAGTTGATTACAATCACGACTTTATAACCATAGCAAAATAAAGAATTTAAGATACAGTTATCCAACCCGAATACAGAAAATCGTTGCGAAGATCTATGCCATGAGATCATTTGGTATTCTGCACCGTCTTGTTCTATTTCTACACAGAATGCAAGTGGCAACTTCAAATTCTATGTGGGGAACTTCTTTCGTTTTGATGAGTAAGTATATTCAGACAATCGTTATTGTGATTTGAGCCCTGTCCTTAGAGTTTGAATAATAAGGTGAGCATGAGTATGTCATGTAATGCAATCGTATAGATAAGGGGCGGTCGGGTAGCATAGTGGTTAAAGCTTTCGCTCTTCACGCCGAAGATCCGGGTTCGATTCCCGCCGTGATATTGCTGGAATATTGCTAAATACGGCGTAAAATCATACCCACACACTCGTTTACTCGTGTAGATAAATCATGTGAATATCACTCTGTGGTACACAACAATACCCTTCGGAAATACCGAAGCCGAAAGACTTTCAAATCACGTTTCACCATTATTTGATGCACCCTTCGGTTTTGGGGACATATGATTTAGATTTGAGTATATCTAAAGAAACAGACAAACACTGCGTCCTTATTAACTGTAATCGCCCTCGGATCAAACGGACTCATTTTTTTTACCCCTTGCTGCACTATATTGCGAAATAGGTTTTCAAAGTAACAATCACCACATGTTATTTGAGGGATTCGGGGTAAGAATGTTTATATCCTAATGTTCGCTACATCAGAGCTCAGTCCATCCGGAGCTGACAGTTTCCATGTTAGTGTTTCACTCCCTGCACCCAGGAATGACTCACTGAGGGGTTTTGCTTGGACGCTCTGTCTCTCCCTCAGTTCTCGAATGACATATTTTGATAATTTTACTGTGTTTCTCTCAGACTCTCCCCCAAGAACAGTAAACTGAGATGGTTTGAGTGTGTTTCTGTTAGACACTCTACAAATAACAGTAATCTGAAATGGTTTAAGTGTGTTTCTCTCAGACACTCTACAAATAGCAGTAATCTGAAATGGTTTTAGTGTTTCTCTCGGACACTCCACCAAGAACAGTAAACTGAGATGGTTTTAGTGTGTTTCTGTTAGACGCTCCACAAATAACAGTAATCTGAAATGGTTTAAGTGTGTTTCTCTCAGACACTCCGCTAATAACAGTAATCTGAAATGGCTTTAGTGTGTTTCTCTCAGACACTCCACAAATAGCAGTAATCTGAAATGGTTTAAGTGAATTTCTCTCAGACACTCCACAAATAGCAGTAATCTGAAATGGTTTTAGTGTTTTTCTCTCAGACACTCCACTAATAACAGTAAACTGAAATGGTTTAAGTGTGTTTCTCTCAGACACTCCACTAATAGCAGTAATCTGAAATGGTTTTAGTGTGTTTCTCTCAGACTCTCTACAAATAACAGTAATCTGAAATGGTTTAAGTGTGTTTCTCTCAGACACTCCGCTAATAACAGTAATCTGAAATGGTTTTAGTGTGTTTCTCTCAGACACTCCACAAATAGCAGTAATCTGAAATGGTTTTAGTGTTTCTCTCAGACACTCCACAAATAGCAATAATCTGAAATGGTTTTAGTGTTTTTCTCTCAGGCAGTCCACTAATAACAGTAAACTGAAATGGTTTAAGTGTGTTTCTCTCAGACACTCCACTAATAACAGTAATCTGAAATGGTTTAAGTGTGTTTCTCTCAGACACTCCACTAATAACAGTAAACTGAAATGGTTTAAGTGTGTTTCTCTCAGACACTCCACTAATAACAGTAAACTGAAATGGTTTAAGTTTGTTTCTCCCAGACACTCCACAAATAGCAGTCATCTGAAATGGTTTAAGTGTGTTTCTCTCAGACACTCCACTAATAACAGTAAACTGAAATGGTTTAAGTGTGTTTCTCTCAGACACTCCACTAATAACAGTAAACTGAAATGGTTTAAGTGTGTTTCTCTCAGACACTCCACTAATAGCAGTAATCTGAAATGGTTTTAGTGTGTTTCTCTCAGACTCTCTACAAATAACAGTAATCTGAAATGGTTTAAGTGTGTTTCTCTCAGACACTCCGCTAATAACAGTAATCTGAAATGGTTTTAGTGTGTTTCTCTCAGACACTCCACAAATAGCAGTAATCTGAAATGGTTTTAGTGTTTCTCTCAGACACTCCACGAATAGCAATAATCTGAAATGGTTTTAGTGTTTTTCTCTCAGGCAGTCCACTAATAACAGTAAACTGAAATGGTTTAAGTGTGTTTCTCTCAGACACTCCACTAATAACAGTAATCTGAAATGGTTTAAGTGTGTTTCTCTCAGAAACTCCACTAATAACGGTAAACTGAAATGGTTTTAGTGTGTTTCTCTCAGACACTCCACTAATAACAGTAATCTGAAATGGTTTTAGTGTGTTTCTCTCAGACACTCTACAAATAGCAGTAATCTGAAATGGTTTTAGTGTTTCTCTCAGACACTCCACCAAGAACAGTAAACTGAGATGGTTTTAGTGTGTTTCTGTTAGACACTCTACAAATAACAGTAATCTGAAATGGTTTAAGTGTGTTTCTCTCAGACACTCCGCTAATAACAGTAATCTGAAAAAGGTTTTAGTGTGTTTCTCTCAGACACTCAACAAATAGCAGTAATCTGAAATGGTTTAAGTGTGTTTCTCTCAGACACTCCACAAATAGCAGTAATCTGAAATGGTTTTAGTGTTTTTCTCTCAGACAGTCCACTAATAACAGTAAACTGAAATGGTTTAAGTGTGTTTCTCTCAGACACTCCACTAATAACAGTTATCTGAAATGGTTTTAGTGTGTTTCTCTCAGACACTCTACAAATAACAGTAATCTGAAATGGTTTAAGTGTGTTTCTCTCAGACACTCCGCTAATAACAGTAATCTGAAATGGTTTTAGTGTGTTTCTCTCAGACACTCCACAAATAGCAGTAATCTGAAATGGTTTTAGTGTTTCTCTCAGAAACTCCACTAATAACCGTAATCTGAAATGGTTTAAGTGTGTTTCTCTCAGACACTCCACTAATAACGGTAATCTGAAATGGTTTTAGTGTGTTTATCTCAGACACTCGACAAATAGCAGTAATCTGAAATGGTTTTAGTGTGTTTCTCTCAGACAATCAACAAATAACAGTAAAATGAAATGGTTTAAGTGGGTTTCTCTCAGACACTCCACCAAGAACAGTAAACTGAAATGGTTTTAGTGTGTTTCTGTTAGACACTCTACAAATAACAGTAATCTGAAATGGTTTAAGTGTGTTTCTCTCAGACACTCCACAAATAGCAGTAATCTGAAATGGTTTTAGTGTTTCTCTCAGACGCTCCACCAAGAACAGTAAACTGAGATGGTTTTAGTGTGTTTCTGTTAGACACTCTACAAATAACAGTAATCTGAAATGGTTTAAGTGTGTTTCTCTCAGACACTCCGCTAATAACAGTAATCTGAAATGGTTTTAGTGTGTTTCTCTCAGACACTGTACAAATAGCAGTAATTTGAAATGGTTTTAGTGTTTCTCTCAGACACTCCACCAAGAACAGTAAACTGAGATGGTTTTAGTGTGTTTCTCTCAGACACTCTACAAATAACAGTAATCTGAAATGGTTTAAGTGTGTTTCTCTCAGACACTCCGCTAATAACAGTAATCTGAAATGGTTTTAGTGTGTTTCTCTCAGACACTCCACAAATAGCAGTAATCTGAAATGGTTTTAGTGTGTTGCTCTCAGACACTCCACAAATAGCAGTAATCTGAAATGGTTTTAGTGTTTTTTCTCTCAGACAGTCCACTAATAACAGTAAACTGAAATGGTTTATGTGTGTTTCTCTCAGACACTCCACTAATAACAGTATTCTGAAATGGTTTTAGTGTGTTTCTCTCAGACACTCTACAAATAACAGTTATCTGAAATGGTTTAAGTGTGTTTCTCTCAGACACTCCACAAATAGCAGTAATCTGAAATGGTTTTAGTGTTTCTCTCAGACAATCCACAAATAGCAGTAATCTGAAATGGTTTTAGTGTTTCTCTCAGACAATCCACAAATAACAGTAAACTGAAATGGTTTTAGTGTGTTTCTCTCAGACATTCCACTAATAACCGTAATCTGAAATGGTTTTAGTGTGTTTCTCTCAGACAATCCACAAATAACAGTAAACTGAAATGGTTTTAGTGTGTTTCTCTCAGACATTCCACTAATAACCGTAATCTGAAATGGTTTTAGTGTGTTTCTCTCAAACAATCCACAAATAACAGTAAACTGAAATGGTTTTAGTGTGTTTCTCTCAGACACTCCACAAATAGCAGTAATCTGAAATGGTTTTAGTGTTTTTCTCTCAGACACTCCACAAATAGCAATAATCTGAAATGGTTTTAGTGTTTTTCTCTCAGACAGTCCACTAATAACAGTAAACTGAAATGGTTTAAGTGTGTTTCTCTCAGACAATCCACAAATAACAGTAAACTGAAATGGTTTAAGTGGGTTTCTCTCAGACACTCCACTAATAACAATAATCTGAAATGGTTTTATTGTGTTTCTCTCAGAAACTCCACTAATAACAGTAAACTGAAATGGTTTAAGTGGGTTTCTATCAGACACTTCACAAATAACAGTAACCTGAAATGGTTTTAGTTTGTTTCTCCCAGACACTCCACAAATAGCAGTAATCGGAAATGGTTTTAGTGTGTTTCTCTCAGACACTCCACTAATAGCAGTAATCTGAAATGGTTTAAGTGTGTTTCTCTCAGACACTCCACTAATAACAGTAAACTGAAATGGTTTCAGTGTTTTTTCTCTCAGACACTCCACTAATAACAGTAATCTGAAATGGTTTCAGTGTTTTTTCTCCCAGACACTCCACTAATAACAGTAAACTGAAATGGTTTAAGTGTGTTTCTCTCAGACACTCCACTAATAACAGTAAACTGATATGGTTTAAGTTTGTTTCTCCCAGACACTCCACAAATAGCAGTCATCTGAAATGGTTTAAGTGGGTTTCTCTCAGACACTCCACTCATAACAGTAATCTGAAATGGTTTTAGTGTGTTTCTCTCAGACAATCCACTAATAACAATAATCCGAAATGGTTTTAGTGTATTTCTCCCTCCCAGACGTTCCATGACTACACAAAACACTGATGTGGTCATATTGTGTTTCTCTCAGATTCTCCACCAGTAAGAACAATGCGAATGTTTTACTGTATTCCACTCATAATGTCCACCTATAACAACGCACTAAGATGGTTTTATTGTTCAAGGAATCTTTGGGGGAAGTTTTACAACAACAACAAACTGTGATGGTTTCATTGTGTTTCTCTCAAACACTCCACAAATAACACTGTGATGGGTTTATTGTGTTCCAGGAATCTGGAGGGGAAGTTTGACTTCGTCTGGGACGCGGGGGCGATGTGCGCTGTAGATGAGAGGGACAGACACAAGTAAGTTATATTCCAGCTATATGACGGCGGTCTGTAAATAATCTTGACCAGACAATCCTGTGATTGATGTCGTGGGCATCGATCCACACAATTGGGATTCAATGACATGCATCAACCAAGTCAGCGAGCCTGACCTTCCAATCCCGTTAGTCGCCTCTCACGACAAGCATAGTCGCCTTTTACAGCAAGCATGGGTTGCTGAAGAATTATTCTACCCCGGATTTCCACGGGTCGTTTAGTCAATGAATAGACGTGAGATTTCGGTGCTTGATTCGATTCAAATTTTAATACTTTCTAAGCCATTTACAGTCGTACTTAAGTTTATGACGTGCTGTCTTGAAGCCACAGTTATAAGAACAGTATGGCTTATACAATGCAAAAGGTAACTGACAGTGTGAATATAGACACAAATCACCTCTGTGATGGTTGTATTCCAGGTACATGACAACTGTCAGGGGAGTGTCTCACAAGTAACTGACAGTGTGAATATAGATACAAATCACCTCTGTGATGGCTTGTATTCCAGGTACATGACAACTGTCAGGGGAGTGTCTCACAAGTAACTGACAGTGTGAATATAGATACAAATCACCTCTGTGATGGTTGTATTCCAGGTACATGACAACTGTCAGGGGAGGGTCTCACAAGTAACTGACAGTGTGAATATAGATACAAATCACCTCTGTGATGGTTGTATTCCAGGTACATGACAACTGTCAGGGGAGTGTCTCACAAGTAACTGACAGTGTGAATATAGATACAAATCACCTCTGTGATGGTTGTATTCCAGGTACATGACAACTGTCAGGGGAGTGTCCGACATGTAACTGACAGTGTGAATATAGATACAAATCACCTCTGTGATGGCTTGTATTCCAGGTACATGACAACTGTCAGGGGAGGGTCTCACAAGTAACTGACAGTGTGAATATAGATACAAATCACCTCTGTGATGGCTTGTATTCCAGGTACATGACAACTGTCAGGGGAGGGTCTCACAAGTAACTGACAGTGTGAATATAGAGACAAATCACCTCTGTGATGGTTGTATTCCAGGTACATGACAACTGTCAGGGGAGGGTCTCACAAGTAACTGACAGTGTGAATATAGATACAAATCACCTCTGTGATGGCTTGTATTCCAGGTACATGACAACTGTCAGGGGAGTGTCTCACAAGTAACTGACAGTGTGAATATAGAGACAAATCACCTCTGTGATGGTTGTATTCCAGGTACATGACAACTGTCAGGGGAGGGTCTCACAAGTAACTGACAGTGTGAATATAGATACAAATCACCTCTGTGATGGATGTATTCCAGGTACATGACAACTGTCAGGGGAGGGTCTCACAAGTAACTGACAGTGTGAATATAGAGACAAATCACCTCTGTGATGGTTGTATTCCAGGTACATGACAACTGTCAGGGGAGTGTCTCACAAGTAACTGACAGTGTGAATATAGATACAAATCACCTCTGTGATGGCTTGTATTCCAGGTACATGACAACTGTCAGGGGAGTGTCTCACAAGTAACTGACAGTGTGAATATAGATACAAATCACCTCTGTGATGGCTTGTATTCCAGGTACATGGAAGCTGTCAGGGGAGGGTCTCACAAGTAACTGACAGTGTGAATATAGATACAAATCACCTCTGTGATGGCTTGTATTCCAGGTACATGACAACTGTCAGGGGAGTGTCTCACAAGTAACTGACAGTGTGAATATAGATACAAATCACCTCTGTGATGGCTTGGATTCCAGGTACATGACAACTGTCAGGGGAGTGTCTCACAAGTAACTGACAGTGTGAATATAGAGACAAATCACCTCTGTGATGGTTGTATTCCAGGTACATGACAACTGTCAGGGGAGGGTCTCACAAGTAACTGACAGTGTGAATATAGATACAAATCACCTCTGTGATGGCTTGTATTCCAGGTACATGACAACTGTCAGGGGAGTGTCTCACAAGTAACTGACAGTGTGAATATAGATACAAATCACCTCTGTGATGGTTGTATTCCAGGTACATGACAACTGTCAGGGGAGGGTCTCACAAGTAACTGACAGTGTGAATATAGATACAAATCACCTCTGTAATGGTTGTATTCCAGGTACATGACAACTGTCAGGGGAGGGTCTCACAAGTAACTGACAGTGTGAATATAGATACAAATCACCTCTGTGATGGCTTGTATTCCAGGTACATGACAACTGTCAGGGGAGTGTCTCACAAGTAACTGACAGTGTGAATATAGAGACAAATCACCTCTGTGATGGTTGTATTCCAGGTACATGACAACTGTCAGGGGAGGGTCTCACAAGTAACTGACAGTGTGAATATAGATACAAATCACCTCTGTGATGGCTTGTATTCCAGGTACATGACAACTGTCAGGGGAGTGTCTCACAAGTAACTGACCGTGTGAATATAGATACAAATCACCTCTGTGATGGCTTGTATTCCAGGTACATGACAACTGTCAGGGGAGTGTCTCACAAGTAACTGACAGTGTGAATATAGAGACAAATCACCTCTGTGATGGTTGTATTCCAGGTACATGACAACTGTCAGGGGAGGGTCTCACAAGTAACTGACCGTGTGAATATAGATACAAATCACCTCTGTGATGGCTTGTATTCCAGGTACATGACAACTGTCAGGGGAGTGTCTCACAAGTAACTGACAGTGTGAATATAGAGACAAATCACCTCTGTGATGGTTGTATTCCAGGTACATGACAACTGTCAGGGGAGGGTCTCACAAGTAACTGACAGTGTGAATATAGATACAAATCACCTCTGTGATGGATGTATTCCAGGTACATGACAACTGTCAGGGGAGGGTCTCACAAGTAACTGACAGTGTGAATATAGATACAAATCACCTCTGTGATGGTTGTATTCCAGGTACATGACAACTGTCAGGGGAGTGTCCGACATGTAACTGACAGTGTGAATATAGATACAAATCACCTCTGTGATGGCTTGTATTCCAGGTACATGACAACTGTCAGGGGAGGGTCTCACAAGTAACTGACAGTGTGAATATAGATACAAATCACCTCTGTGATGGCTTGTATTCCAGGTACATGACAACTGTCAGGGGAGGGTCTCACAAGTAACTGACAGTGTGAATATAGAGACAAATCACCTCTGTGATGGTTGTATTCCAGGTACATGACAACTGTCAGGGGAGGGTCTCACAAGTAACTGACAGTGTGAATATAGATACAAATCACCTCTGTGATGGCTTGTATTCCAGGTACATGACAACTGTCAGGGGAGTGTCTCACAAGTAACTGACAGTGTGAATATAGAGACAAATCACCTCTGTGATGGTTGTATTCCAGGTACATGACAACTGTCAGGGGAGGGTCTCACAAGTAACTGACAGTGTGAATATAGATACAAATCACCTCTGTGATGGATGTATTCCAGGTACATGACAACTGTCAGGGGAGGGTCTCACAAGTAACTGACAGTGTGAATATAGAGACAAATCACCTCTGTGATGGTTGTATTCCAGGTACATGACAACTGTCAGGGGAGTGTCTCACAAGTAACTGACAGTGTGAATATAGATACAAATCACCTCTGTGATGGCTTGTATTCCAGGTACATGACAACTGTCAGGGGAGTGTCTCACAAGTAACTGACAGTGTGAATATAGATACAAATCACCTCTGTGATGGCTTGTATTCCAGGTACATGGAAGCTGTCAGGGGAGGGTCTCACAAGTAACTGACAGTGTGAATATAGATACAAATCACCTCTGTGATGGCTTGTATTCCAGGTACATGACAACTGTCAGGGGAGTGTCTCACAAGTAACTGACAGTGTGAATATAGATACAAATCACCTCTGTGATGGCTTGTATTCCAGGTACATGGAAGCTGTCAGGGGAGGGTCTCACAAGTAACTGACAGTGTGAATATAGATACAAATCACCTCTGTGATGGCTTGTATTCCAGGTACATGACAACTGTCAGGGGAGTGTCTCACAAGTAACTGACAGTGTGAATATAGATACAAATCACCTCTGTGATGGCTTGTATTCCAGGTACATGACAACTGTCAGGGGAGTGTCTCACAAGTAACTGACAGTGTGAATATAGATACAAATCACCTCTGTGATGGCTTGTATTCCAGGTACATGGAAGCTGTCAGGGGAGGGTCTCACAAGTAACTGACAGTGTGAATATAGAGACAAATCACCTCTGTGATGGCTTGTATTCCAGGTACATGACAACTGTCAGGGGAGTGTCTCACAAGTAACTGACCGTGTGAATATAGACACAAATCACCTCTGTGATGGATGTATTCCAGGTACATGACAACTGTCAGGGGAGTGTCTCACAAGTAACTGACCGTGTGAATATAGATACAAATCACCTCTGTGATGGCTTGGATTCCAGGTACATGACAACTGTCAGGGGAGTGTCTCACAAGTAACTGACCGTGTGAATATAGACACAAATCACCTCTGTGATGGTTGTATTCCAGGTACATGACAACTGTCAGGGGAGTGTCTCACAAGTAACTGACAGTGTGAATATAGAGACAAATCACCTCTGTGATGGTTGTATTCCAGGTACATGACAACTGTCAGGGGAGGGTCTCACAAGTAACTGACAGTGTGAATATAGATACAAATCACCTCTGTGATGGCTTGTATTCCAGGTACATGACAACTGTCAGGGGAGGGTCTCACAAGTAACTGACAGTGTGAATATAGAGACAAATCACCTCTGTGATGGATGTATTCCAGGTACATGACAACTGTCAGGGGAGTGTCTCACAAGTAACTGACAGTGTGAATATAGAGACAAATCACCTCTGTGATGGCTTGTATTCCAGGTACATGGAAGCTGTCAGGGGAGTGTCTCACAAGTAACTGACAGTGTGAATATAGAGACAAATCACCTCTGTGATGACTTGTATTCCAGGTACATGGAAGCTGTCAGGGGAGTGTCTCACAAGTAACTGACAGTGTGAATATAGAGACAAATCACCTCTGTGATGGCTTGTATTCCAGGTACATGACAACTGTCAGGGGAGTGTCCGACATGTAACTGACAGTGTGAATATAGATGCAAATCACCTCTGTGATGGCTTGTATTCCAGGTACATGGAAGCTGTCAGGGGAGTGATGAAGCCCAAGTGTATCACGATGCTGGAGTTCCCCAAGGAAGGAGGTTCAGGTATTATTAGATGTTACATCTGGCAACTGTGACTGTAGACACCTATTGTTAGTTATTATATAGCCAATATTGTCTAATTCATTAGCATTTAGATATTATTATGAGAGTTTAACTGAATGGGCTTTTAACAGCCTTATCGTCATGTTCAGTCCCTCTCCATACAACCTTAACGACTCGTGCATAGTTTGATAACGTTTGATGTAGTAATAACTCTCTTATACTTTCATTTTACATTAAAATCATTTCTTTCTCACTCATTGTTTCGTGTATGTTATTCTGCCTGTTTTAGAACACCTGGGGCTAATTCCAAATTTAACAACAATAGATCAACTAAAAATATATGTTGTTGAATAGATTAATATATTGTATCGAAAAGGTTAATTGTAACTGCTGGGTCTTCAGAGTGCAGATCACGGCGGCAGTGTCTCCTTCATTGCAGGGGCGCCCTATCATTTCAATGAAGAGCAGCTGAAAGAGTTGTACGGTAAACCCTTCACTTTACGCTTATGTTATGTAAAATGCATGATGCTCAGTCGTCGAAGGCGCCGCAATTCGCTGTGCAGAGTTGCGTTCCTCAAGCGTGCCAGAAAGCTTTGATAGTGGGTTCGAAATCCCAGGTCGTCATGATTGTTTCTGGGCTGCCGGTCATGACTACAGGGTTTCACCAAAGCAGTCCACAAGGGCAGATCCAGTATTTCTTAAAGGGAGGGGTCCAAAATCCCCTCTCAGATAATTTTACAGCGATTTTTAAATATGAATTTGTCTGTATCAACGATTATAATCTGTGAGATAGTCTGCACATTGTTTTTACGCAGGCGACATTTGCGACGTGGAGTATCTGGATGAGTATGTGTACGACTTCAGCGAGGCCTTCAGCGGTGACGCTCAGAAAGACGCGATGCCTCAGGACTTCACAGAATATGACGTCAAGGCTTGTCTACAGACCTACTGTCTGCAGAAGAGGAACTAACTGCAATGGCAGTCTCCACCATCGCCATGAAATACATCTTGATTCTCTGAACAGAACACAAACGTTAAAACCATATACAGCATCTGGCTCGGGCGGAAGACCATAATATATGATAAAATCTTCATTAGAAATGGTAATAAAATATGATAATAGAAATGTTGGTTGATTTTGTCCCCTGGAAGAGACTTGCGAAAGACCTTCGGTGATTTTACAGTAGCTTGTTCTGATATCACCACATTACTTCACCACTTCCGGGACAATGCCAAAACACACATTCACTCACTCACTCCCTCATCCCCTCCCTGTAGACTGGTGTAGGTTTTCTTATGCACAAGGTTGATCAAGTAATCGAGGGTACCACAACATATTAAGATATCAGGACCGTCTCCTGGTCTAGTTAACAGAGGGTCTGCCGGGAGAGCGCACCTTCACCTCTGTAATATCAGGATCCGCTGGGCATGGCGAACTCAGTGTCTGATCTATAAGGATGTATCTCAAGACTTACTCACTCACTCACTCCCTCATCCCCTCCCTGTAGACTGGTGTAGGTTTTCTTATGCACAAGGTTGATCAAGTAATCGAGGGTTCCACAGCATGTTAAGATATCAGGACCTGGTCTCCTGGTCTAGTTAACAGAGGGTCTGCCGGGAGAGCGCACCTCCACCTCTGTAATATCAGGATCCGCTGGTCATGGTGAACTCAGTGTCTGATTTATAAGGTTGTATCTCCAGACTGTTCAAGTTATGAGTTTCCTATGTTTTGCTGGAGCGTTCTGCCCGTGAATACTCGAGGTATGGTTTAAGAAGTGCAGTTGATCAAGATCTTCCCCCTTTACTATTTTGAGCTGAAGGATTAGTTGAGAAAGCAAAATCCTGATACTTCTTCTTCTACTCCCTCTTCTACTACTACTACCACTACTACTACTGCTGCTACTTCTACTAATACTACTAATCCTACTACCACTAATACCTCTACCGCTATTACTACTACTACTATTACTACTACTACTGCTACTTCTACTACTACTACTACTACTCCTTCTTCCACTACTACCACCACTACTACTACTGCTGCTGCTTCAACTACTACTAATAATAATCCTACTACTACTAATACCACTACCGCTACTACTACTACTACTACTACTTCTTCTACTCCTTCTTCTACTACTACTACTACTACCACTACTACCACCACTACTACTACTACTTATGCTGCTACTGCAACAACTACGTCTTCTTCTACTCCTTCTTCTACTACTACGTTCGCTCGTCACGCAGAAGACCCGGGTTCGATTCCCGACATGGGTACAATGTGTGAAGCCCATTTCTGGTGTGATATTGCTGGAATATTGCTAAAAGCGGCGTAAAACCATACTCACTCACTCACTCACTCTTCTACTACTATTACCACTACTACTACTACTACTACAACTACTACCACCACTATTCCTACTACTGCTGCTACTACTACTACTGCTTCTACTCCTTCTTCCACTACTACTACTACTACTACTAGTACTACTACTGCTACTACTACTACTATTTCTTCTTCTACTCCTTCTTCTCTTTCTACTACTACTAGTGCTGCTGCTACTACTACTACTACTACTAATCCTACTACTACTACTGCTACTGCTGCCACTACTACTACTACTCCAACTACTACTAATCCTTCTTTTTCTACCATTACTACTACCACTACTACTACTGCTGCTGTTGCTACTTCAACTGAGACAACTACTACTACTAGTGCTCACACTCCTACTACTATTGCTGTAGCTACTACTACTACAACTGCGACAACAACTACTACTACTAGAATCAGCTAGTAAGTTCGACTCCAATGTTCACCTCTATTCTAACGAGGCTCACCAAATTTATACACGCGAAAAGCTACGAGTTCGGATGTCACGTGCGGCCTTCCGTAGGCAATCAAAACAGACGTATATACTCTATAGATGCATATTTGTATTAACAAATATAAATTGACAAATTTATCAACATGTGTAAAACACAACATTTAACAAGTAATTCACGTTTTCAGATGGCATAGCTAATACAATATTTCACGTATTAAACTGTACACGATATACAATAGTTGGTATCAAAAACAAGTCAGATCTTATATTCTACTATTACTATAGAATATTCCATCATATTTCGGTATTGATCCATTGACTCAAAAAGCTGAAGCAAACAGGTCAAGCAAAAAGATGATATATGTGCGTGCCAAATGTGTGTAAACGATCCAGCGTCCATGCAGATTCGACCGGGTACACATTCGTTGCTGGGCGAACAAAGGCCAATGAAGATGGGAATAATTATAAGCCTTCAGACATTTGTCAAACAGAATTGATGGTCATATTGAGTGCACAAAGATTGATATGAAACAATGGCTCCTCTCTGACCCGACCACTGTCCATCCCCATGTCAACTCCCACCCTCACACTGACTCCCGTCTACTCTAACTTCCCGAGCACGTGATGTGATGGTCCACTTCACTCTCCTCGGAACACTGGATGGGAGGGTGTGCTGCTGTTGTTTGTCTGTAAATCAGAAAACAGACCTTAAGCATCGTTCAGTTTCTGTTTCTTCTGTCCGTCACTCGCGATCGTCAGAATTGTAATACGTATTACTTTGTCTCGTTCCGCACATTTACTGTAATCTAACACTAAACGGTCAGATCTTGTACATTCTCGATAAGGGAAATACCATTAAACCATTAATGTTGCAGATACACGCTTAGGTTTCAACACTGCGCTTCCACACCTGATACCCGTAGGTCTAATCTCTCTTTCAGGCCGTACAGCATATATCTAATAACACATCCCACTCTCATCCCCTTCTTAGTCCTACCTGTCTGTATTAATCATCCCCTTTTCAACTCCAGACATTAAGAACATTTAGGGCTCCCTCATACTCGGGTTCCCTTGTATAATTAAGATTATTTAACGTCATTCATAACTTTATTTCAGGGACAATATGTCAGCCAAGACACATACCCAGCTCCACCATTTCCATCAGTGCTTACTCTCTGTTCACAGTGACACTGATCACCCCCCACCCTGGCAGCTCGAGCACTGCTGGTGTTGTTGAGCAGGGCCTCGGTGGCAGCTCTGGGTGGAACACACATGATATTTTTATCATCCAGCAGACTCTCGTGTGTACACTGAACTGCTCGGTTGTGAGGGGCCGCTGATGCCATGGCAGAACTGAAAATAAGATCAGAGGTTTTGCAGTAATTTACAAGTTTATTCTTTTAAAAAAAATTCTAACCATGGACAAGTCTACGACGCCAAAATAACTTTAACGCCATGTTTGTACTGTTTCTATGAACATCAAACTTGAGTCAAAGACTTGTTCATGTTCAAATGCTAGTAAAACGCTTCCCGAAAACCTGAATATATTTGCAACACATCATTACCTCACCAATAAGTGTTGCTGTAAGTCCATTAAAACCGAAAAGAACCTTTCCATAATCATATGTGTTTATGAATTGTTATCAGATTCTGTGGATACCAGGTGTTCACGATAAGGTGAACGTGTCCTTCCCCAACGGTGGCACCCGTCACAAACACATGCAAAGGCAAGACAAGAGTTCACCTAAACAAATACGGGAATAAAATAGGAAATTGCGACGGACATTTAAAGCAGGTCAAGTGGCCGGGGTATTTCTTCAGTTACTGCTTCAAAACAAATCATTTTTTAAATAAAAGGAGACGAATAATTGTATTTTTTCTACATCTATATTCATCTATATTTCCCGTTTGTTGCCCGATATTTATTTTTTGTGGATGGTGTTTTTTACAACAAATCATTCAAAGGCAGGCTCTAGAGGTTCAAAATTGTCAACATTCAATAATTGAGATGTCTATTTCTTAGATAATAATTATTGGTTGTCATAGTTGAAAATATACTTGAACATTATGCAAACATTTTCATACTATGCATCTAAGTTTAAATGATAAATTACTTAAAAAGACACTACTAAATGTGCTTTTCATAAATAGTTTGATATTGAAATCATAAGCGAATCTATGCCATCTATAGTGTACACAGAGTTGTGTCCCCTGAACTATTTTCACATCAACAAAGTGCGAACCGTGACGGACAGGTTGAGACGGGTAACAGAGCCCACCCCCTACAGTGTGTCCACATGTGTTCGTGTTGAGTGTGTTATGTCGGCAGTGAGGTGTCTTTCAACATAATTTCCCGTTTTATGGATCATATTCTTGGATTTACCATGTAAAGTGTAGAGTTCATAATCATTGGAGTACCCGGATATCCCGTGAGATGTAATTCAGGTCGTGGGTATGTGACACACTTTATTCTGGCTTTAAATATATGTCGCCGTCCTGTATCTCTCATCCTTACACTTTATGTTATCAGCAGCAGCGGGATTACAATGTTATGTAAATTATGTTTTAACTATAATTTCTGTATTCGACAGCGAATAAGAAACATTTGCTATCGCCTGCACGAGGACGGGTAGAATCCTACTACAACCACCCGCCATATTGGGTCAGCGGGTACTCTACTCTTGACAAACAATATCATGTGCTGGAATGTGTCTATAGTGAAAAGCATAATAAGGAACATGACTGATAATTTGGCAAGTGCAATTTGAAACAACAAACAGTGTCTTCACAGCTGATTTTGTTTGTAACATCATTTGTTGATTTTTCTACAAAATAGATATATGTCTCCGGTTTTTTTTTCAGAATTATCGGGTAAATGCCATTAAACACACACACACACACAGCTCATACACTCTTTAAAAAAGAAAAGCAAAACGGATATTTTTAGCCATTAGAGCAAAATAAGAGGACCAAGAGCTGCAAAATGAACAGTTATATTATGTTATAGTGTCAGTGACAAATTTCCAGGATCAAAATCATCACAACAATGACGTGCAAACCATTAGTCGGGAAGCGCGTACGATTCGGAAAGTGCAGGGTTTTTGATCGCCTAGCATCTTCGTGCAACGAACAGTGTTTGTTTGTTTGTTTATTGTATCCGCCGCACTCAGTGATATTCCAGCTATATGACGGCGGTCTGTAAATAATCGAGTCTGGACCAGACAATCCAGTGATTGACACAATGAGCATCGATCCACGCAATTGGGATACGATGACATGCATCAGCGAACCTGAC